AGCGCCCTCTGTTCTCCTACTCATTCTAATACTTCCTTATTACTATCCTTTTCTATTCATGGTGTTTTTAACATCGTCCTATAATACCATATTTTGCACCAAGTATCCTCTTTTATTAATCTTTATTGAATTCCCAAATTGTTAACCGATTACGAACACAAAATTAATTCCAACGCAGGTCTATATTAACAACTTTTCGTATAATATTGAGTGATTACGTATACATAGATCAATCATTCAACGACATACGACACATCATTCGTATTGCCTCATATTGGAATGTACGTTATGCAAAAATTAAACTTAGTTCTTCTACGTTCACTCAACTTAACCACATACGCTTAAGACGGTCTAGAGCATAATTTAGATCTACTATTGCCGATACTTTTTAGATTGGTTCGTATGGACTATGCCGATGACGTCAACGCAATCTATCAATGATTGTACAGTACCTATACATATTGCGAAGCTTAAAATCGCATTGTGGATCCTAAATTATTTGCTCGTGTTTACATTAGCAGATCGTTTATATACTTAAGTTGCGATCGTGCTTGACACGAGCAGTCGTTTTGAGTAGTAACCCGTTTACACACTTTGTTGCAGGGGTCGTGGGCGGACATGCGAGGACAGCCACCGTGGACCGTGGAGCAGTGAGCGCGTACCACGCTGACAGAGGCGCCTGCGATTCCATTAACCCCAAGGACATTCGCGGTTAACACTTCCTCAAACATTACGATCGACGGCGACTGTATCTCTTTTCGCTACGTCCAATGTACAGTTCTTGACAAAATTAACGATACGAAATAGCAAATTAGTTAATTTAGAGTTTTGCCAATTTTTATTTTTGTTCCTGCCTCTTACAATTTTTCCAAATCATACGATTTTTTTGTATATTTAGAAAATTCGATCGTTAATTGTGTGACATACCGTACATAACTTTTTGGAATCGAAATCGTTAACATTTTGTCTAAATTTATCAAAAATAACAACTGTCTCTATTTACGTAAGAACTTTTAAACTGTGTACATCTACATAAGCATATTTAACGATAAGGTCTATTTTTTAAATAAATATATGAAATAAGGTATAAAATTTCAGCGGGCCTATGCCGTACTATTATAGATAAGACACCTATTGTGTAAAGTATTTTTTATATTTTATAAAAATTTTCAATGATGTAATATTTTAAACGAAAATGACTGTAGATTTTTTTTTTATAATTTTAACTGATCTCTAGACTTTAATCAAATGGTGACATTAATATTAAGAAGATTAACGCTCTCTTGTGAAGCAAATCGGTAGTATCACTTTTTTTTTTAATAAGTACATAATTAGGGATAGTGCTTTATAAACGAATAATATAATTATGTAATAACTCTTCGTCGGTGCCATCTAGATTTTTTTTAACGTAGATTAGCTTTTGCTTTCATTTTAACGATAGAGTGGTTTCTAGATTAACCTAACCTAACCTATGTTTAATTTTTTTTCGTAATTTTATGTTTTTGTAGGCTGGTTAAGCTTTAAACTAGATAAGTTTTAGTTTCTAATTCCTAAAGGTTTATGTATTTTTTAAAACCTAGTTACGAAATAAATATTTAAATTTACCAAAACAACTGTTTTTTTTATAATATTGTTGGGGGTTTTTAAACGTTAACAGGTAAGTAAATTTTCCTACAGGGACTGTTCTTAAAATAATTGACCAAATAGCTTTCTTAGGATCCTGTTCAATAAACTGGTAACAGTCAATTTACTTGTAAATTTTACTTCAATGTACAGGTGCTGTTCAAATAATTCGTAATGTTTTTGTTCTTGAAAAGGGTTTTCAAACTTTTAACACAGATGACACCATCAGTATTAGATGTTAAATTAAATCTTGTTAAATATCACTACACTCACGATCACTAAAAATAAAATATGCACATATGGCCGCCTACTTGTGAGAAATCACGTTAATATGAAAAGCTTCATTTAACGTGTGCTTTATTCACACAGTACAACATTGACTTAATGGAGTTAGCCTTAAATGTCGAAATACCAAAACAGTAAACTGATTGGCTATTCAATCGATTTACTTCTATGGCGAGACAATATGTCTGTCAATGGAGTTTCGCCGCCATTAGCAATCAGTCTTTTGTTCTCATGAAGCATTACCCGTTACGCGTGCATTTTGTTTCCATTAAATGCCCTTTTACGCACGATACGACGCATTTATTTTCTCAATCGGACGAATATATATGTCTTAATAATCTGCAGAGAGATGAAACGTCATAAATAAAGGGGTTCAGTTCAATCGTTAAAAAATGTTTATTATCACAATTACGAATGAAGATAATAACTGTCGACGGTGGTCGTACGATATTTAGTCGTTTACGGAAAATCAAATACAAACAACAAAACATAATAATTATTACGCCAATTGTTGTAAACAATAAAGAAATAAAATAAAAATAAAGACACATTTACTGGAAATGCAACAACTTGCTTACCTTGTGCGTATTTTGACGGTTTCCCAGTTAAAATAAAAGAGAAAATAACACAAAAAAAACATGCCAAGAAAATATCATAAATAAATAGTTTCATCTTACCCGTTTCTAGTACCTGCCACGAGTGAAAAAATTAAATGATTGTAATTGCAAATAAATTAATTATCCCTGACTTGGCAGGCACTAGAACAGGGTTAAAATAAGTGACCATGCACAATATCCGATATATCGAACCCTTAATAACTAATGGTGGGCTTGGTATATCGAAAACGAGCAAAAAAAATATAAATAACTTAAAAACAAAAAAAAATATATGTATATATATATATATNAATTTTGGGTTATGGAATTATATATATATAGTTCATCTTTTGTAAGCATTCGCTGGCTAATTTCGATTTTAACATTCTTTAACGCCGCATCGTCTATTAATACATGAATTATTTATGCACACTAAAAAGTTTGTTTGTACAAATTATTTAAATTAATTATAACTAGTAACTTCACTACTAATACATATGTACAATGTTTTCGTGTTTTTTTTTTCATCTAGAGAATTTTTTGAGTCTATGTTACCTATTTTCGTGCGTATGAAGATGGCCGTGTTCAGGTGGCGCTAGCTAGGAAAACAGACGAAAAACGACTGGCTGGTAATACGACACGTGCTGGCTTTATCCCGATTAAGAAGAGCATGTGCAGTGAAATTAGAATTTTGAGGGCGTTGACCCAAAAAACAAACCGAAAAAAAGAAAAAACCAAGAAAAAGAAGTGTAGCACCAACGCAATTACAGATAGCAACTACACCCACATCGCGAACGGTTGACGCTACAAACCGTCCAATAAAAGTTAGATTTCGTAAAGATTTCTAAAAACAAGTAGGCTGAAGTGTATTATTTACCTAAATAGTCGGGGCGGCATACAATAACGTCAAACCAGCCTGTCTCGTATCAAATCATTTTATTCCCTTCACTTTTCAACAGTTTTCGTTTTGAATCATTTTTTGTCCTTTCGTGTGTAATTTTTGCGCAAACGTTTAAAGATTTTCTGCAAATTCCACCATGCGAGATAACAGAAAGATAACAACAGGCTGCAGTATGCGAAAGTTTGCTTTTTTTTGTGTGTAGGCTGCCAAATTAAATGCCACATTTTCCTTCCAACCAGCCATTCACGCAGTTTCATCAACTGCCCACGACCGTATTACATCGGAAGGTCATCTCGTAACTCTTACCGATCGCGATGGTCACACATCGTTCTTTTTTATCTGACGTAACTCAAAAACTGCAAAACATATGCCCTTTTGGTTCGAATTTTCGCAACAAGGACGACTGACATTATTTAGGAAATTCAACCAAAAAGAATAATCAAACAAAGAATCTCTGTTTTCATAAACAATAATTATTGATCATTTATTAAATATGAAGGAAGGTTCAAGGTTTTATTTACTGTAAATAAAGCCCTTAATAACTGTAAATCAAGATCCACCCTATTTTTGCATAATCTTTCAATTTGGATAAGGAACATGTGACCAAAAATGTGATATCCACAAATAGTTTATTTTGGCATTTCGGTTGGTATTGAAATTAAATCGTTGGCGATTGATTTTGGCATTTGATGCGATAGGAGTTTGCAGAAAATCAATAAAAAAAGTAAATGAATACACAAAGCAAAACTATTAACAAAATATTGAAGTATTGGGCCATGCAAAACAAATAAAAACGACAATAACAATGGCTACATCAGGCCAAACACAAATATGGCATTAATATTTCACCCCGCACACGCCGCTGCCATTAAAAAAAAAAAGAATAACCATAATAAAACAAAATTATGTAGGTCAGGTAGGTCATTCTCGGTGGCGATCAGTCACTACTGTATTAATCATAAGCGGTAATGTCACATGACATACACACGTAGATTTCTTTTATTAGATATTTACTTTGTTCTATTATTATTTATCGAAAGGGTAACTAGCCAACTAACCAAACTTGACGCTTATGTTGTAATCCAGACTGGCGTTGTATATGGAAACAAAAAAATGATTGCAGATTGATTGGTTTTCTTTGTATGACGTACTATTTTCTCGTGATATTGTGATGTAAAAGGTACACGTTCATTAAAGTAATACACGTGTTTGGTTGTACCTGATCAACCTATTTCTTTCTTTCTTTATCGTGGTGTGCAGTTGTTTCTAAAGCAATCAACAACATTTATAATTAATTTCACCTACAATTTCCGATCATTGGAGATAGATTCCTTTCAAGAAGCCAATTATAATTATTACTTTGTTGGCAGCGATCAAAATTAAAATAAAAATAAAATAGGATTACTTAACTGGTAATGGAATGATTAAAAATTGAAATTTGAATAAGTTGTTGCGTTAAAAATCTTGTGTCTTACTTCAAAGAAATCAGCTAAAAAGATGTTATCTTTCATTCAATTTTTGTATGCACTTTGAAAGGGATTTAGTAAACAATAAATCAACTCAATGGTCTAATCCTTTTTGTGTTTGTTTCTGTTATTTCTTCAATGATAATAAAAATAAATATTGCTTGAATGTCACTATCATATGGTAAGGACGTAAGAATACATTTCCACTAATGTTAATTTGAATGCGGAAAAGCGTCCCTGCCAAAAGAACATCCGTTTCCGTTAGCGAGGAAGTAATGATAAAAGGCGATAATTATTTCGACAAAGCTGCACGTCACCGGTGCCGTTAAGTTACGTGAACAGAAAATCCATACGAAAATTGAACGCATCCAAAATACCGATCATTTACTTTTACAGTTTTCTTTTAATATTGTTATTTGCCCGACTTTTTTTCGTGTAGGTGTAGCTCTTCTTTCGTGTAAATTTTATTATAAACAAATAATAAAATTCAACTCATAATAAACCAAGCCGTCGAACGAGGAGTCTACACAGTCTCCGTCCATCTGAATAATTCATCTTACGCCGTGGACCTCACGCATTCGTCGGCTCTACGTGAAATTTATTTTGTTTCCCATGTCCTGGCCACGTTGAGGACCTGCTGTTTCGGGAATTCGAAAAGTAGATTTTCAAAATGATCGGGAATCATACGGCATACATGTGAAGAGGACTTGATGCCTCGGCAGTCGCCCATTAAATCGCACAGCGGGAAATCACAAAAACGGGAAGAAGATCAAGTTATCAACGTTGAAAACTCTGGATTTTAATTATCTAAAGGCGACGAGTTTAAATTTTGGGTTATGGAATCAGAGCCAAGACGTACAACTCTAATCTTGATGTGATTATTGATTAGAAAACCTGGCAAAATTGATGAAATTTAGAGTTACTTCAATTTATGGAATGCACCATAATACCCATCCCGATAAAGATCAGAAGAAAGATAAGGGCTGTAAAATTATAGTGATTGTGTAAACACGTATAACTCTAATCTTAATTTAGATTCCATGATAAAACCTGGCAAAATTGATGAACTTTAGAGTTATTTCAATTTACAGTATGCATCATAATACCATTCTCATGGAAATCAGAGTCAATATAAGGGTTGTAAAATTACATGTACAATCCTAATCTTGACATGGATCCCATGATCTTTTAAACGAGTTATTGATCAGAAAACCTGGCAAAATTGATGATATTTATTTCAAACTTCTAGAATTAGAATTTTCCGTACATGCCTGTAACCAATTTATATTCTTTAAGATACATTTGAAATGGTCAAACTTTTTTAATGTTTTCTAATGAACAACTTCCATGATGATTAGCAAAGTGTAAATTTGAAGTTCTTTAGAACCCTGGATATTCCTCGCCCTGAATCCAATCATGAACGACAAGGTAATTACGGCGTTTTCTCATTTTTATTCTAAAAAAATTATGACTGGTTGTCAATTAGTTACATTTTAACACGAGAGACGTGGTTGTGGACAGAAATAATACGACTTTTACAATAATAATTAAAAACGAAAAATGATTTGGTGAAGAAGTTGCTCGAATTGCTCGGTTGTTACATGAATGTAAACGGCGGAGCGTTCAGATGAAGTAAGTAAGCAAACGGGTTTTTCAAGAGAAAAGAACGACCGGCTAATTATTCAAAAAGAACTTGAATGTTGACGATCCTAATTATCGCTCAATTCATCCATTATCACTTGTGGCTCAACAAGACCCGCAATGGTATTTCCCACACTGACGTTCTCTTCTGGTACCGCGCTGTTTGCTCACATCTGCTAGTCAAAGGGGCGCGTTTTTCCGGAACAGGAACTGAATTGTCGAAATTCGTCGAAACTTCGATACTGCAACCCGAAATTTTTGATAGATCGCTCGAATTGAAACACGATATTAATTGTTCTTTACACTTACAGTATGTCACAAAATAAAGCATCAGCAACACACAAATACACACCGCCCAGAGAAGGTAAATGTACGCTGAAGGTGTTTTTCCCAAAAATGAAAAGTTGAGCGATTTGGGTATACATATTTATCTCCAAAGTTTTATAACCTATAAATAGTTACTGAATTTCGAAAAGTAATATTTTAACTATAAAGAATGAAAACCTCTAAAATTAACATGCGAAATTATGATTTTCATCCAATAGGCAAATGGAGTCTGCTTTTTTTGGTTGTAGCTTCTTTTGTGTTCTTTAACTCTTATTTTGATGCTTCGTCCTGTATGTCCTATATAAGTATTATCAAAATTTTCAGTCTAATAATTATAAACCCCCGATAAAAGCCTAATTTGTTCAATACTGGAAAAGTAATGAAAAGTAAAAGAACTAAAGAATGGTAATTGTTTCTATAGCCCTATTAAAATGTATTGAATTGTTGAGTAATGAAATTTGACCTAATGACTTTAGTATAATACTTTAACAATTATTGATTGAAATAAGTTTCTTTATTTTTGTAAATTGAGAGTTAAATTTAACACATTTAAATTAGAAATATAACCTAACTTGAACTGAAAATTATTACAAGTGAAAATTTTTTTGGGACACGGTGTACAGTGGGTAGACCGAAAGCGACGCACGGACGACTTGATTTTAAGATGCGATACGAAGATGCCTTTAATAATAATATTGATATCATTAAAGTAGGTATCGAACGAAATACCGCTTACATATATGATTGATACCCATTCATAATTCTAACGCCTGTGAATATTAGAAAAAGAGGTAGGCGTTCGTCACGGATAAATTTTTTATAATACAGTCGAAGCGTCTGTTTCTATAAATAAATAATTTTTTATGCGCAATTTACCTTATAAAAAAAATAATAAACACGATCCGTTATTGACTAAAAATATCCGTTCTTTGTCAATTGTTTTCCTATCTTACTGTAATCGTGTTTAAATAATCTTCTTAATATGGATATTATTTTAGTTACGGAAAGGAAAATAAGTAGAACAATTAATAATTGTTAATACGAATTAAGCGTTATGTACAGTTTTGGCTATTGATTTATTAAATAATGAAATTAACTGTAGTAATTGTTCTACGATCTTTCATGGTGGAAGTAACTAAAAACATTCCCATCTATTCTCGGTTTCAGTTTTTCTGGGCTGTTTTAGCCGGAAAACGTATCCCGGGACCTAAACTATTCAGAGGTACATTTCTCACAATTTCCCGTTATGTTTTATAGGTTTTTCTCTTTTCCTCCTAAGACTTTCTTACTTTGGATGAATACGTAACAGTTTATTATGATTTCTGATGTTTAAATTAATGAGAAAAATTGTTCCTGCTGTCACACCCTCCTCGGCGAGAATCGAACCCGGGACCTTTGGTTTTACACACCAACGCTCTAGCTACTAAGCCACGAAAGGTGACAACAGCATTTGGTAGAATTTCTTATATAATTGAGTCGAAAATTGCAAATATTCAATATGAAATGTAATTATTACTTTTCTTCATGCGAAGCGTCAAGTTAGGTATTTAGCAATAAAAAATCCTTAATAAGTAAAACACCTGTAAAACGTTGTAAGAATGAGAAGTTCGTCGAAACACGTGTTTCGATGCATATTTAACGTTTATAATATAACCAGGAGTCAATTCGGCGCATCTTTTTATATTCTGTTCGCGTATTCCATAGGCAACCTGATTAAAGTGCACTATAATTCGACCGCAGCTGAAAAATTCGACTCATTACGAGACGGTTTAACGCTAAAGTTGCTAACCAGGGCTCGTTATGTTCGCGCGAAACATCGAAGATGATTACGCATATAAATGAGATCGTCATGTTTTTTATTATTAAAACATAAAGTGTCGTAAAACGCAGACTATATCATAACACAAAAGTATTCGAAAACGCTTTCGAGACACACATTCGCGGATGAAGTATGCAATGTTGACACGTCGTGTTATTGCACCTGTTATAATTAATTCGCGAATTTTTGCAAATGATAACATTTTTATATAGTTTCATACACTCGTGTCGTACACAAAATTAAATAATTAACACCGAAATCGTTAACTTGCTTATTAAGTGTTTAACGTATACGTATGTTTTAATAATTAAAAAAAAAATGCATGCCATTATTATCATTACTTCCTCTATTGAAACAGACGAATTTCACATCGGCATATGATCATTGTTATCGATATTAAAGTGCGCTTCCTACAATACGTTTGCGCCGTGCGTCAGGCACACTGCGTCCGCAGAAGTAGAACAGTTGATGCGTCAAAGGCGGCGAATATTTAGCGTGTACTTTACAATTTCAGAAATTTTATTAACAGATTCGAAAATTGAATCAATTCTTGCAAAATATCGCGCGCAATTGTTGGTCCTTAACCAAGAGATGCAGTGCGCCTACCGCAAGGGCCTGACGCATAATAAGGAACACACCATTAAGTGTTTATCGTGTATTTTAATCTTTAAAAAAGATGCATGCCGTTATTATCATTACTTCCTCTATTGAAACAGATGAATTACAAAATATCGCAGGCAATTGACGCGCCTTAACTCTAAGCGTCAAGCGATGCAGTGCGTCGACCGCACGGGCCTGACGCATCACATGTAACGCGCCATTAAGTGTTTATCGTATATTTCATTCTTTAAAAAAATGCATGCCATTATTATCATCACTTCCTCTATTGAAACAGAAAGGTACCTATCTGCTCATGCATCAGATTGTGAATTTCTCATAAGTATGATCATTGTTAAGTGCGACAAATAATATAATAATAACGATAGACTAACGCTTTAAAGTGCGCTTCCTACGATGCGTCTGCGGCATGCGTTGGACATATTGCGTCCGCAGAAACAGAGCAGTTGATGCGTCAACAGCAGCGGATATTTAGCGTATACTATGCAGGACTTTGTGTATGACATACGTTCATAGAATTTTATTAGAGTAGGTATGAAAATATTGTTGCAAAATATCGCAGGCAATTGCCGCGCCTGAAAAATGTGCGTCAACTGACGCAGTTGCTTCAAGAGACAAGGTGGCGTCAAGAGGCGACGCAGTGCACCTGTCGCACGGGTCTGATGCATCATAAGAAACGCACCGTTAAGTACATATATGTATATATTAATTTTCTAATCGTTTCATAAATTTCAAAAATGTGTAATCACTAATAGAAAATACGTCTCAATTTGAGACAGTTTCGTATTAGCTTGTCAGAACAGCAGCAGTTAGCACCCGAATTTCGGTCAATAGATTAAACGTTTGATATAAAATTTATTGAGAATCTTATTTATGAATTTGGTTGTAGTTCTCTCTAGGTATTTATTTGAGTAATCAGTCGAAGGAGATAGTAGAGCTTCTCTTCCAGATTTTCTGTGCTGCTTATCGATAATTCTATTTTTATTTACTTCCTGTGACCGATCGAAGGAAACTAACTATCGAAAATTCTGACAAAATCGGCCCGGGAATCGAGCCCTGCCAGCCGCCCGTGGGCTGCGTGAGAGATTATTAATAATAATAATAATAATAATAATAAGAAAAAATAATAAAACAAAAATCAACTAGTGCGCACACTGTCCCATCTATCGTTGGGGATGGGAATGGGACATGTGGGTGTGCGCGTGGGGATGCTGGGGATGGCCGTAGCTTTGGTGTGGCGGCAACGGGCTGGGACATGCCTGCGCGTAGCCGCCGTGCTGCGGCGATCCCCCTAATCCCAGATGGCTCTGTTCTAAATGAGAATAGTGCGACTGACCGCCTAAAGAGTGCGCGTGTGCGGCGTGAGCGTGCGGGGATGCGTACGCCATTTGTCTTACTTTGGAATCCTCGTCGCTGATGTTGTACGTCAATTCGGTTTCCTCGAAGCCCATCGCTGACATACGCTGATCGCCGCCGGACGACGCGCCGGCGGGCGGATCGGGCGAATTCAGGCACGTTTGGATCAGGGCTTTGCCGGCCTCGCTTGTTATCATCGGCTGCAGTTTGCGGGTGGCGAATGTGTAAACGTGACCCGTTTCTGACGCCACCAGCAACATCAGTTGCGTGCCCGTTAGCGTTGCCAGTTCGTACGCCTGGAACAATAAAAGAACAATAGACAATTATTACACCGGATACGGTCGAACAACGTCGAACAGCTATATCATATTATCGGAACGATTCTGATCATGGCAGCTGGCACAGATAGGGCATGTACAAAAAAAAAACGTCTGACATTGCGCTGATTTTATCTACCAATAAATAATTGACGAAATTACTACACAGAACAAAAATTTGTACGGAACAGCATCTGTAAATTGACACACAAATATTTGTGTTAATTACTTCGCAATGACTAAACTACAAATCTTATAAAATTGCAATACTTCCGGTGTCACATCAAATAAATAGAGCTTGAAATGATTCACTAACGATGTAGTCAAGTAGATACCTTAATAAAGCCCTTGCCAAACATATGAGATGCTATAGTTAAAGGTAAATATCAGTAGATGGCGCTATACTGCCAATAATTTGATATTTTGTCAACTTGCATTTCGATGAGCGCATTCAAAATCGTGATCTACATTTGGTAATTACGTTTCTAAAATAAGTTGTAACTTATGGGTATAGTTCTTACTTATTTTAAGAAAGTTCATTGATTTGCTTTTATCCTTACTTTTAATACTAAAGTGATAATGTAGATGTGATGGGAAGGCCTCAAGCAGAATTACTATCAATTATCAATTGTTTGAAAGTCTTTAAAAGAGAGTTTATTAGTGTGTAGGAACCACAAATGAATCTATCTCATTTACAGCACACATTTGATGTAGTTAAAAGGCTTTAAACGGATGGCACATCACATTGTGACGGATATTGGTGGGTCAATATGTGTATCGCAAACAAAAATACAAAAGTTGTGTGCCAACAGAGATGTTTTGATAATAAAGCAACTGGATGCGGTCGTGCTCGATAAAAATAACAAACTACAAATTTTTACAAATATGGAAGAACTATGCCCAAGGGAACATTTTTGGAACACTGTGTATAGGTATAGTGACAGAGAAATCAAAAAATCCCGATGCATTTGCCAAAAACCCACCCACATGCTCTACGACATTATTTTAGTGTAATAAGAATAACATAAGGGACTAGCACAATCTGGCGCCTGTTATACAATAATTATACGTGTTATTACCTTGTGAGCTTGAGAAAACAGTAATAATAATGATATACGTAATAATTTGCCATACGTATTTATTTTTGTCGACAAACAGCAAGCAGAAGGCTGAACGGTCGGTCGTTTTTAGAATAGAACACGGTCGAACTACATATATACCTTCCGATTTTTCATCACTTTCGTTAAAACGTTTTTGACACTTGTTTTTCTTTCGTGGAATTCCTACCTTGTTTTCGCTTTTCAAACCTTCGTTTTTGACGATTAAGAAAGTTTTCCAAAAAACTTTGGCGGACCTTCTTTAAATAAAAATAGCCGGAGCACAGGTTTATTGTGCATCATCTTTTCAAAACTACCCTTTGTAAGCTAGCGTAAATAAGTTTGCGGCGAGTTACAGACGAGTATTCTTTGAGACATAATTAGGTAATTATCATCATCATACGGTCGTCAGTCCTAAGACTGGTTCAACACACACCTCCACTCTTTCTTATCCTGAGCCAATCTTCGCATTTCCCTAAAATCAGAACATCTCACATCCTTAACTAAACTAGGTCTACCTCTACTCCTCCTAACTAGACCTTCATGCCTGAGAAGGTGTCCTACCAACCTATCTCGCCTATTTTTTAACGACTTCCTTAGAGTCCTCTGTTCTATTCTTTCTAATACCTTTTCATTTCTAACCTTCTCTAGCTACGGTATCCTCATCATTCGCCTGTAACACCACATTTCGAACGCTTCTAACATTTTATTTTCCGCCGCGCCCATCGTTCATGTTTATAATTAGGTAAAATAAATAAATGTATTTTCTTAAAAATTGCTCGAGCATCAAATAGATTGAATTAGATACTCTTTTGCGATAGTTTTCAGTACGATGACTTTTTTTAATAATTACCTACTTTCTCAATTATTAATAAAAAAACAAAACGGTAGGTAAAAACCAAAATGCATGTGCCTGAATGCTCTGGAATATTTTGTGTTGATATACGATTGCCGTAAGAACAGAAATATCTTAGGTATTCGCGGATTTTGTTAGGACGATTGGCTTGATAAATGTATTACTTCGTCCACTAGCAATTTACATTTAAACACAATAGAGATGCCTCTATTCAGAAATAACCATTACTCATACCTATCTTATCAGCGAATGATTTGTAAGAAAACAATCTACAATGCGTATACAAGACAGGCGATACCTATTAATTTATTAGATGCGACCATGCACTTGTAGAAGTCCTGTATGAACGAAATAAATAACAGAATTTACAGAATACCAGATAGGTTAAAGGACATTGGCTAGTAACTGAATGTTTTGTAAATACTTATTTATCATTTTTATGTTAGACATGAAATATCAAAATCATTGGTAATTTTTCTATGGGAACCATATTTTCCTAAAACTTTATATGTTACGCATTTAACAATCCTCAAAAAAAAATTATAATAAAATAACAGTAGTAGAAATATTCTGATAATGCTTAGAGACTGACGTATTTAGGATGACTTATAATGTCTGTCAAATTTACACTCGTCCTGGAAACATAGCGAGTACATAAGGCAATTAATTATTTGAGAAAAATCTAGTAACAACTGTGAGAATGGATAGAATACCAATCCGTTGCATTAAGCTAATGAAAAAGAACCCATACGGCAATAATGGTTGACAAAGATCAACTTGGGAGTTAACGAATACCCTGGTGACAATGGCAGGTTCTATATAATTAATTATGTCTAAAAAAAGACTAGTAGTACACGCTTAGGTATTTCTTTGCTATTTCTGGGGATCAAATTAAAAGCATGTGAAAGAAACACAAAACAGACCTCATCATACCAACAATTAGTAGAAATCTAGTAAACAGGTTCTTTTACAAATCAATAAATAGCAGTCTTTCTTCTTAGGGTGATAGAATTTTTTTTGTTAAAGGTACTCATAATTGGTTACAAAACAAAACCCATTTCTGGATGTTGCCAGAGTGTTAAAATAACGTATTTTACCGGCTAGGCATTTACGAATTGTTGCGATTTGAAAGCAAACTGATCGAATTTCTAGTTATTTATTATTATGATACTAGCAACGATCATTAACAATGTGTGCCAATTGTACTACTTGTCTTCTTTCTTTCATTTCACTTCTAAACTAACAATTCACAGTAGCACCGATGGTAGTAGTAATAGTATCGACGCATAGTTCGTCCATTCTAGGATTGTTTAGAAGGCCGGAACTTGTACATTCGCGCTACATATGGCGCACTTCGTCCAAATACGTATCTTAAAGTACGCATCTGTAAGCGGCATGCGTGCCGGCAATGCGTCAGAACAGGGTTGTTATAGCCATTGTGCATTTACAAATTGTTTGTGGAACAACTTAGAAAATCAGTCCAGTTAGAACTGACACACTGTGTGTCTTATCGCGCGGTCAGGCAATTTGTTTTATATCGCGACGGCCACAGCATGGAAACCGTTAAAGGATATAGATATCTAACTATAGGTACCCAGGAAGCGTGTAGGTACCTGGACGGATTTAACGCTCCATCGACAGAATGATTGGTTATTGGCTAGCAAATGGGAAAACAAGCGCAAGTTTCGATTCCTGCAAAGATATCCTCAGATTTATCATCTTTAGTACATTTTGGAATTTTCAGACATTTCACATTTAATGACCCCTCGATCAGGAAGTGAATTTTTCTTGGGTAAATAGTTTAGCAATCATGTTCATCAAAAGCTCTCGGTTTGGGCAAAAAACTATTATTAAATTAAAATATTCAACTAGGACATGGAAGTTCGCAGGCTTTCACGGCCGGTGTCTTATTGGTGATGAAGAGTTTCTGGGATTTTCTGCCGTGGTCGAATTCTAATTGCAATTTGCTTTTCTGGCGTTTAATTGACTCTTCGTACAGTTTTTTGTTAGATTAGCAGTCATCCCATCCACCTCATTCCATGGTTTCGGCTTGAGTACTGCAGCGAGGTTCAAATGGAGACGGTACAGTTCTCTGCTTACTTTATTCAAAGATAATCTGGTAGAATGGATGAAGTGCAATTAGAATTCGACCACGGCAGAAAAGCCCAGAAGCTCTTCATCATCAGGACATGAAAGTTTCACTACATGGATTTTGCCCCATCCAGGTCTAGGTGTAGCATCGTCTCTGTTAGAGCTGATGTCTTCCTCAGAGTGTATTCGGTAATTATTATTCCAGTAAGTCTATTTTATAATATCACCAACCAAAGATCTCCAAGATACAAAGTAACGGTACCAGGTGTGTTGTTAATGTGTGGATGTTATATAACACCTCAGTGGTCATACATTTCGTTAATTATAACGTTTACAAAGACAAGAAAATTGGCTTGGTAATGCATGGTTTCGCTTCGTGTCCCTATGTCTTTAGTTTATTAATTGCATTCTGACATCCGACGTATGAAGCTGCTAGCTTGTAATCATCCGGATATTTTAAAGAGGTAATGATGACGTTCTTCCACTGGTAAAAGTTTTCGATGCGAAACGAAGGTCATTTTCTTATCACAACAGGGTTATTAGATATCCCATGGCAAGCAAATTAAAACAGAATAAATTGAACAAAGTTTTGTGGAAAGTTGAGGAAACCACAGAAAACCTTGGACCAGGGCAGACGGATCCGGAACTGACTAGGAGTCTTACCGAATGTTAACAGTCAAATTGCATAGATATTAACAACTATTGCTGATATTTTATTTGAATTGATGAGTCTATTACGAAACTTCCATAAACAAACACACTACGATTATTTTCCAAAAAGAGTAAAATCAATCCTGTACGTAGGCGTGATAGTACTAATTAACATGTTACTTAAGAGATAACTAATCGCCGTTTTTCGCACAAAACTATTTCTGTTTCAATTAATTAAAGTATATTACTTAATTTGGAAAATATTTCAACACAAGGGAATGTGGTACAGTGCATTGGTCATCGGGACTTCAGCGACTTATAAGCGACTAAGTTTTAAACTTTATTAGACTTTTTAGATAATATCATCATCATCATCATTATAGGGTCGTCAGTCCTAAAACTGGTGGGATAAGCACCTCCACTCTTTCCTACCCTGAACTAATCTTTGCATTTTCTTGAAACTAAAACATCTCACATACTTAAATATTTGTGAACATTATTTAATATGTCTCTGACTAGCCCTTCATGCCTGAGAAGGTGTCCTACCAACATATCTCGTCTATTTCTTATTGACTTCCATAGCGTCTTATGTTGCCTTACTCCTTTTAATACCTCCTCATTTTTTAACATCTCCATCCACGGTATCTTCATCATTCGTCTGTAACACCACATTTCGAATGTTTCTAATCTTTTCTTTTCCGCCGCACCCACCGTCCAGGCTTCGTCGAGACATGGACATGAATTAACTGTTCGTTAACATAGAAGTTACTTCTTTTCGTTGAAGGCGACTCGGGCCTGCGGTATCCTTTGTTTTATATCTCTACTCCTCCTTCCATCCTGAATTATCTGGTTTCCCAGACACCAAAAATCAGCGAATTCAAATTTTTCTTATCCTATCTTTATATTCACTTTTTCCCTACTTTTTCTTCCATTGCATGCCAATAGTTTTATTTTACTTTTATTTACATGTACCTATGAACAGATTTATTTTTGCTATTTACTTTTGGATTTATTTTACTTATCAGTTTAATAAAATATGTATTGTTATAAAAAGTGTTTTTCTTAATAAATTAATTTCCCCCTTATTAAACGAGCTGAAAGTACCAAAATGAATTACAGTTGTTGTGAGGCATCACTGAAAAGTATTTTATGGTTAGAAATTACCTGGGTGCACTTTCTACCCCAATTTAAAAAGTGTTTGGTAGGTTTCTGTATCATTTATAACATGTATATTTATATAATTTGTAAAGCTTAATGAAGATTTTTTGTTGCTGATTATTTAATATTTGTTTAGGGTTGAGTACATACAACTGGCTTTGGAAAATAAGCCATTGAATTTGGGACAAGGTTTTCCTGACTATGCACCCCCTGAATATATTACAAAAGCCCTAGCTGATGTTGCAAGAAGTCCTGACCCTTTGTTACAACAATATACTCGTGGTTTTGTAAGTTTTTCAATTACATTAAAAATTTATAATAATTTAGTATTGGTTAAAAGGGCCATCCTCGTTTGATAGCAGTTCTGGCAAAACTATACTCCATTACAATTATCTCAAAAATATAATTTATTTTACGTTTAAACTAAATTTCAATATGTGGCATATATTATTTGTAAAACAACAGAGTTGTTTTGTANACATGGACATGAATTAACTGTTCGTTAACATAGAAGTTACTTCTTTTCGTTGAAGGCGACTCGGGCCTGCGGTATCCTTTGTTTTATATCTCTACTCCTCCTTCCATCCTGAATTATCTGGTTTCCCAGACACCAAAAATCAGCGAATTCAAATTTTTCTTATCCTATCTTTATATTCACTTTTTCCCTACTTTTTCTTCCATTGCATGCCAATAGTTTTATTTTACTTTTATTTATTTTCATACAATAGATAATATGTGGTCCACCCTAATCTGCTACATTTGAGTGCTTTTAAGCCAATAAATTGTAGAACTTATCAGGTGAGTACGTGATTATTAGAAAAGATATAATTATCATTAATAAGCAAACTGTGTGGCATTAGCGAGGAAACATGTTTCAAATTATGTAAAAAGATGCCTTACTTTATAAATGTAAGCCATAAACCTGTTAGTCTGCGAAGTAATCTTCCCATAGGATAGCAGAAAGCAAAAAACTTATGAATTATTAAAGTATTTATAATGACGGTGATACATTTTAAAATTTAATTAATTAAATTGTAGGACTACAGAATCAATTAGAAAGTTACAGGTAAAGCTTTGTTTGGGATAAAAAGAACATCAAACTTTGTGATGAGTATCTGGTGAAGGTGCTGGGAAGTTCTTTTAATTAAGTTTAAGTAAATATGTCGTAGGTACAGATACTTCCATTTATTTTTATATTGATTACAAGTTCTCAGTGATTTTGAAAATTAAAGACCGTCAGATGTTTCTGTCGAAGTAATAGATCAATCAAACAACTTCAACAAATATATTTAAACGAAAACTTGGTAATATATTATAGTTGAAGTGCTCTAGATAATAACTAGTTAAAATATACTCGCTCAAGTTCGTGTGTTTCTGAGTTTTTTGAATGTTAAAACATGCTTCACCATTTGACGAATATTTAACTGGATACACCTCTCTCAATGTTATGCAAAGCCACTTTTGTGTGCTATTTATCGGCAATTACTTACAATTCATGTTATAAGTGCTTACAATAGACCGTTATTAAAATCTTTATGGAGTAATTAAGGTACATGGTAAATGGTAAGAAATTATACGGGCTGTGCAGTATTCATAGATACAATATAGTAGTACTTATCTCTAATGCATATTTCATAAACAATTATGGGTACTATGAAGGTATGAACTAAATTTGCTGATCGTGAGTGTTAAAAGATAAGACGAAAGGAATGGGGAGGAATTTTACGGTCGAAGTCACAAGAAGAATTACAGTAGACTTACGACGATGTAAACATCAAGAAATTAAAATTTTATTGTGACTGGCGAAATAATAAGCAAAAATAATTCATTCACAATGAAGGGAAAATGATAAACAGTTTGATGACCACAACGCACTAAAAACGATTTGAAATCCCTTTTAAAAATTTCTGGAGAAATGAATATGGGTAGATACCCTTATTTCTCTCTTTCTTCACATGAGTATGTGCTGACGTTTGAAGCGCTTGAGATGTCGAGTTACAGATGGATAACCAAAATAAAGTAAATTGAAAAGGTATCAGGAACAGTATGAAGGACAGATAGAAGTCAATAAGGAAAAGCAGAGATAGGCTGATAGAGTACCGCCTGAGACACGAACGGCTAGTTAGAGAAGAGGAATTAGAATCAGGAAAAGCAGTGAAAATTGACTTTGGACAGAAAAGAATAAAGATGTGTGTCCAATATCTTCTGACTAACAACGTTATGATGAAGACGATAACGAGGGGCTTGTTACTTATTAGCAGAAAAGCAGTTGCTTCCCTATGTCGCCTATAGCCCTACGTTCATGAATTTATATTACTTCAGCAACAGCTGACCAGGCAGATCAATCTATTGGGAACCCTTCTGGAATTCTTTGAGCACTTTGGTCACCCACATCCCCCAAATTGATCCACCAATATGGCTTCTTGTATGAACTACCCCAACGATCTACCACATACCGCTGAGTGTACGTGTGTGGCTTTCTAAGAATGATTAAAAACAAATAAAGACGGGCAAATAGAAGCCAATAAGGAAAGGGAGAGGTAGGATGATAGAGCACTTCCTGATGTATGAAGCGCTAGTTAGAGAAGAATTGGAAGCAGGAAAAGCTGTAAAAATTAGCTCAGGACAGAAAACAATGGAGATGTGTGTCCAGCATCTTCGGACTAATGACGCTATGATGCTTGTGAGGTGCCCGTTACATACTAGCAGAAGAGGATTTTCTTCGCTATGGGCTTGCAACTTTCAACCCCCATATCTCACAGCCCTATTCCATGAATATAAATAGTCAATAATTCGGGAAGTATTATGAAATTTATTAAGCATAAGATAGATTCCGACACTTTGTTCGCCCACATCTCCCAAACACATCCACCAAAATGGCTTCTTGCATGAACTACCCCAAAAATCTATCCAATGCTCTTGCGTGGCTTTAGAAGCCGCATCAATTTTCGATAATCAAGCAAGCCATGCTGCAGTAGCTTCAAATATTAAGTAGATAACGTTAACTGTTACCATGACCGACAGACTGAAGGGCGGATGGAGACCATACTCCAGTCATAACAAACTGACTGTATTTAATAATATAGGTAATAATGCATAGCTGATTCCAAGTAGGTGGTGTTGTTATTTTTAAACGAAATATCTTTTAATTAACCTCCATTTATCGCTTAGTCATTATCATTAAATAAACAATACAAACTGCTAATTAAAATGAATTCCTCATCTCTTCTGTTGAAAACAAATAACAATTAAAAAATTACGTGTGATTCTCTGAACTGTCCACAAGTCGGTGTACATGTACGTGACATGAACATTTGCTGCTCTGATCGGATAAAACACCAATGTTAAATATGCTCCTTCATTTTTAATTAATTATGCCAATTACGCGCATTACAGAGATAACTGTACTTCAAAACAGTAAGTAGGTGCAAAAAAAATAAAAAACGGATTCCATTAATTACCCTTTAAATACCTATTAGTATTTCATAATCAAAATTAAAAATGTGATCCTAACATAAATTATAACAAACTGCAGGGTTGCAATGTGCCTATGCATTTATTTGTATATTTCATCAAAGTTCTTGAAATGACGATGCCGCTATAAGCACAGGTCAAAAGATCATTTTGTACCGACTTCCTCATTGCACTATCGTAAACTATCGAGCAGTATCTCGCTTCGAATTATAAATGTGATTAACTATTTCAATTAACAACTTCATACCTAAGTTCTATAGGTGTACTTTTATCCCTTAGTTTACAAATTATTCTGAGGCGTATGTTCTGAACATGAACACCGCATTATTTTACCTATGTTCCCTGTCGCGTCATGAGTCAACTTTCAGTTATTTTGCTGCATAGATCTTATGATGCAGTTAGACATTGTAGTTTTACATTAATATGAATTAGCATTATAAGACGAATACTGATAATGTATAGCGTATACGGACAAAATTTGAACAATAAATAATGCAGTCGTATATAAGGCCACTTAGATGTCTACACCAATTAAAGGTAACAAATCTCACAAGTATCATCTGTCAAAACTAACATATGGGAGTATTTTGAAAGCTGCGTGCCGCATGTTCTTCTCGTAACAATATAACAGTACCGGAGGAGTCTCTGCCCATAATCATCTCGGTCACGTGTTACTATCTTGACAATTCTATACAGATCGACAAGCAATCGTCAACCGATAATAACATCAATCGCAAGTTTGAACGACGAGACACGCATTGCGTGTTTGAATTTTTACTCAACGTTGTAAACTGACTGGAATTTCGATAATTGTTAGCAGATGGATATCTCGTGTTATTTTTTATGTGCAGACAAACGGAGAGCTGTTGAACGAACGTCGGCGCGCGCAACCACTCACGTGCATGCGCTGCCAGTGATCAGAACGTCGACGATATGATGAAGAGGTTATAATCTTACCTTTTTCATGATGCCAGTTTTTCGTTTAGAAAACGTTGTGTATCGTCGTAATTTGTTCTCTATATACTCCATTTTAATTTTGACTCGTCCTTTGGTTTTCTTGCCGTTACTCGGCGGCGATTTTTTCGATTGCAACGAGTTGTAGGTGTCTTCAGACACTTCGTTCACACCACAAGCTTCTAAACCGAGCCCCTGAGGGGTCATGCCCCTCTCGTCATAGCACACATCGCGCCCTTTCATACTTTGAGCACCACAAGCACTTGACACCATCGTATGTCTCGGAGATAACTGCTGCAAACTAGTGGACGGCCTGCCGAGATTCGGGTTGCCGTAAATCTCTGGGGGTGTTTCACCACTTAGAAGATTCATGCTGTAGCCCAGGTTAAATCGGGAGTCTCTCCCGCCTGGCGGTTCCATTGCGCACCACAGTTTGACAGTTTACGGCACAAACACCACGTTAATCTTCTGTACACAAACACAGCTGAGATTACAATAACGCTCGGCAACGAACTGACTGGACCGCCCAGTGCGCCTCTCGTGGCCAATGCTCACATTAACAACATGCGCAGCCGCCGGTGTACGCTCTCCCCTTCTATTCTGTCTCGTTTCACGACGTGCTATCCGCCCATGCGCTTCCGCGAACGTGTGTCTTTTAATTTCGTATCCACGTAACCTGACCTAACAGTGTTGAAAATTGAATTTGGCATACGCAAAATAGTTCCTTATACATTCGAAAAGATTATGTGGTTATTTTGGGTACGCAAATGCATGCATAGAAATGATATGGCAGTCGGTATTTAGACGTTAGGACGCATATTATCCCCAGATGTGTCCCTAAAAACGCCTGGTAGCCTCACGAGCGCGAAGTGGGACGTATGCTACCTCTCTAAGGACTGCCCAATACCATATTTAGTATCAGCTGTTACCTTATACGGCAAACTCAACCGTAAATGGTAAAGCAAAATCCCTCCTTCTTGATATAGTAGCAAACTGTCAAAGTCGTACGTCAATGCGTGCATGCGGAATTCGTATGCGGACCTGCAGGCGAATGGTACCGAACCGTCATTAAAAGTAATGATCTGGTTTCGGAACTGCACTTCAAAGAGGCCCACAGCCTCTGGCCTGTTCATCAAGACTACATTCTGCAGTCTAGACATCGCAGGAACCGCAATGTTCTAAAAGTTCCTACCCGGAAGTGATCTCTTGTCATAATAAAAATTCCAACAAATCGATCTATCACAATGGAATTTTAAGTAAACAATGGCACTGTGTTCTTCTAATTTTTTTTTCTTTTCTTATCCCATCAATTGTGCGTTTTTAATAATGGAACTTGAACTCTCGTAAACAATTATTGTGTGCCATGTGTGGCACCAAACAAAAAAAAAATGCTTTTCACCTGTTTTTCCGGAAATGGTACAGCGATAATCTATTATTGGACGTATTATTTAATTGGTATAGCATGCGTCATTTTGCATAGGCGTTCGAGAATGGCACTACTTTTAAGGATATTTTCATCGCCATATTCGCTATTTTTATGCGCATATGGGTTATTTGTAAACACAATGCGCATTTTATTATGTAAATAACTATCAGAAATAAGTTTGTGTAGGAACAGTGAGAGTTATGTTTTGAACGTTTCATTTAACATCTGGTTAGTTAGAAATGGCCATAATGATCTTTTCTGGATTAAATCGGCAGACGCTTTTCTCACAATTCGGAAATGCTAAATTTACAATGCATGCGTAATTCTCAATACTTTCTTTATTTGAGTTTCATGTTTTATTAGCCTTTTTTACTCTGTTCTAAGTTAATGTAAACTCTGGCTACGTTTCATCTAATCTGCTTATTAAATGGTCTTACAGGAACTGTAATTGAGCGAAGTAGGTAATCTTGTTGTCATTCGTACTTTCTTTGAGTATTTCGTTTTAATTTTTTATGATCAATCATTTTTGTCTCGTGTCATTGTACCTATGTGTTCCTTCGGTAAATAATATTTTTCCTTGTTTCTTTACTAATATTTCTGTATCTCAATTTCCCTACCACGTAATCACACACGAATAATAAAAAGGAAAATAATAAAACAATAATAAATAATAAATAAGCCTTTTGTTTTATAAATTTGGAGTTTTACAAGAACATGTAGGTACAAAACAGGAAATAAATGTTCGAAGATCATTGCAGCTTGTTCTCCTAAGAAAACTTCTGCAAATGTCTACGAACAATTCCCGTTTAACAATGTTAAGTATATCGAAATTATATTTAAATATGTACTTTTAATGGTACAATTACAAAACATACATTAAAATCACTATCTACCCAATTTAAAAACAATTTACGTTCTAAATTAGCTAAGACACTTACTCGTTGGTCACTTTAAACTATGCACAAATACAAAATAGGTAGATACAGATTTATTTTTTGATGGTGGTTAATGAAATTAGTAACGTCCTAACTGATTACATGCCTAAAACTGACTAAATTCTTTTGCACGTGCAACTTGTTGCATCAGTATGGGGAAAATCGATATTTTCGAAAAGACGTTCAGGTGGATACCTGGTTTGCTATTGGCGAAGGGGTTTGAGCGCGGCTCGTATCATAGGCTGATTTTAAACCCAATTTCCCCTATTCTGCACATGATACATGCAACATAGTGTAACGAACGTTTATAATATCTATTAATAGTGCAATTTCAAAAGGTTAAAACTCAATGTATTTAGGAATAGGGGAAGTAAGTGGAAACATGTAATTTAGTAAACAATTTGGACGATTTCATTTTAACTCATTTAATTTCCGTTGTTCGCATATAAACAAAATAGAAATATGTATGTAACCTTAATGAATTATTAGTGTGATAGAAATACCATGTGCATTTATCTTCAGAACTGTAAAATTTAAAATCATCTTGTTAAAGGCATAATATAAGTGTCATGTCTTATACTCAGATACCTAATACACGAAATGATAACTGTGGGCAGTGTTCAAAATTATTATTACAAAACTAACTCAGACTCATGTTCAGGTCTGCGCCCGCGTTAACCTGAATAAAACACTTTTAATGGGCGCTTTTTAAGATGTATTTGTACATAAACTTTCTAAACACGCTTCCTTGCTCACAACAAGCCAATAATTTAGGCAATAAATTTTCTCGTTGCTCTCTGTCTCTGGTCATACAACATCATTGCACGCAACTTTATTAACTAGGTATTTGGCAATGGTAATTTTACGGTGATCGTAAATAATATCCGATGCTGCCGTCGAATGAGCCATTTCCTAAAATGACTCACCACGACAACTAAAGGTACACACGTACTCATTTACAAATACATTTATTGAATTTAGTTTTTATTGTCGCTTGATTATTTAAAATAGACCGATGCACCTTTCCATGATACCTACTCACTTTTTATTCCCAATTAAAATGTGACCCCGATCATTTAGAATGTCAAAATTGCCTCTTTCAACCTCATATCGAGGGCCCACCATCAAACCCTGTAGAATTAAATATCTGTCGGAATCTTCAATGGTTCTACGTATGTCATAAAAAAAAATTTTTGGGTGTTACACTCTCATCAGCTGCTAATACTGGTGGGCGAGCAGTCTCTTTGGACTACATTCGATGATAGGGTGGAGAAGGCCTTCTTTTAGAAATCACTGGAATGGGCTGATGGTAGCTGGGACGAGAAAATAAAAGAGAAGTGGATAATTTTCTGTAGAATATTATTAGGGTTCCAGCATTTGTCAAAATTTTCCAAGAAAACCTCAGTGAAATTTGGACCAAGGCAGGCGGAGCTGGAATCAAACCCGAATGTGCTGTGGCACGAGAAGGATGAGGCGCAGGAAGTTAAGATAAAAGAGAAGTGAAGGAATCCTGTGGAATATTATTTGGGTCCTAGCATTTGTCAAAATTTTCCAAGGAAACCTCAGTGGAACTTGGATCGAAGCAACTGGAGCTGGAATCAAACCCGAATGCACTATGGGACGAGAAGGATGAGACGCAGGAAATTAAGATACAAGGGAAGTGAACGATTATCTGTGGAATATTATTAGGGTCCCAGCATTTGTTAAAATTTTCCAAGGAAACCCCTGTTAAATTTGGACCGAAGCAATTGGAGCTGGAATCAAACCCGAATGCGCTATGGGACAAGAAGAATGAGACGCAGGAAATTGAGATAAAAGAGAAGTGAAAGAATTCTGTGGAATATTATTTGGGTCCTAGCATTTGTCAAAATTTTCCAAGGAAACCTCAGTGGAACTTGGATCGAAGCAGCTGGAGCTGGAAACAAACCCGAATGCACTATGGGACGAGAAGGATGAGACGCAGGAAATTAAGATAAAAGAGAAGTGAAAGATTATATGTTGACTATTATTAGGGTCCCACCATTTGTCCAATTTTTTCAAAGAAACCCCAGTGAAACTTGGACCAGGGTGTGTAAAGCCTGAATCGAATCCGAATGCACTATGGGATGAGAAAGATAAGATGGATAAAATGAAGGTATAAAAAAAAGAAGCAATTGATTATCTGTAGAATGTTATTATAACTTTCTTAGCATTTTCCAAAATTTTCCAAGGAAAACCCACTGAAAAACCAGGACAGGTGGAGTCGAATTAGAACTCGAATGCGCTGCAGTTTAAACCCCTAACGCAAGTTTAATGACAAACCCCGAACTATTTCGACTTGACTGTTAGAAAAATTTGAAAAAGTAACTAATGTAACTAAGCTTAACTTCATCTTGCATTGATCGGTCAGCGTCCTTTAGCTTTAGACAATAAATCATTAGACAAAAATCGGTTTGGACATTGACTAAGTCTTCTTGTCAGATTTGAGAATTGATTAGCCAAACCCAAACAATTCTAATTCTTGAAGTGTGGCAGAACAACTGCCAAATACAATAAACTTAAGTTACAATTTACATCAGTAACGACTTTATGATGGTAATTTGGTATAATTTCTTGTGGTACGTGCACTTTAATTATATTACGTGTAATGACATTGGGATTGATTTAGCTAATTTAATAAAGTAAATTTGCGGTGTTGATTTTTTTGTAAAAGAAATGACAAGAAGTGCTAAGGCATTGTTAGGTATTAAGTTATAATTAATCAATTTTGTAAATAGTGTTCACACAACATGCCGTTAGGTGTTGGTGTTAATGGTTTAATATCGGATAGTTCTCACCGAACCATCAAGCGGAATCGATTTGAAATTATAATGAGCTGCAACGCTGGTTTCTCTAATTACCTACTAAAATAAAATCAGTTACAGTAGCTACTCGTTATATTTCCGATGTACCTACAAGTGCATAAGTATTCATATGCGTCTTCCAGCGCGTTTACTTATTACTTATTAGATAATTATAGCAAAATTAAAGGTATTGCTTTTTTCACTCAGAAATTATTAACGTTCAATGAACAAGAGCATCAGAGCGCCTACAAACAAAAATAGTTAACAGATTCCATTTTTCATCTTTGTTTACGTATTTATCAATAATTTAGTTTAAGAACAGTATTAAGTAATAGATAATTACAATAACAGTGGCGTCTACTGCGCCATTTGTAGTATTTTCTAAAACGCACTGTTAAGACAACAGGTAAAAGTTGGTCTGTGTTCTGTCGGAGGTGCCTGCGACGCGCTGATGAGATCCAAAAAGATCGAAATCGCGATCCGCGTCTGGCAGTTTCGACAGAATACAGACCACTTCGAATTATTTTATTCGATTAAGCTAACGTGCCTATCACGTTGAGGTTGGCTACGTCGGGATTCGTTTTCAGCAAGTAGATATTCACACAAGTGGACCTTGTTAGAGCATACGTAATCCGAAAATGTAGCATCGTGCTGCAGATGGTGTTTACTGCGCCATTTGTGGTATTTTCTAAAACGCACTGTTAAGACAGCAGGCAAAAGTTGGTCTGTGTTCTGTCGGACCTGCTTACGACGAGCTGATGAGATCCAAAAAGATCGAAATCGCGATCCGCGTCTGGCAGTTTCGACAGAATACAGACCGCTTCGAATTATTTTATTCGATTAAGCAAGCTAACGTGCCTATCACGTTGAGGTTGGCTACGTCGGGATTCGTTTTCAGCAAGTAGATATCCACACAAGTGGACCTTGTTAGAGCATACGTAATCCGAAAATGTAGCATCGTGCTGCAGATGGCGTTTACCGCGCCATTTGTAGTATTTTCTAAGATTTTCAATTTATTTTTCTGTTCTATTTCTATTGAATAATGCTCTAAGCCCTGGAGGTGTGAAAGTTTTATCAAAATGTATTTAATTAATAGCTTTTATAGACTAGAAGAAAACTGTTTTTGGGCGAGAAACGTATGGGCTTCATGGAGCTTCTATCAATGATATAAAATTTTCTTTTGATCTCATAAAAAGGAGATATTTAAAGGCTCTTTAAAAAGCCATCGATATGTGTTGGTTTCTCATTCCGATATAAGTAAAATACTTGTGTACGGTTGGACAATTCGACCAATATAAAGATGTCACTTATTCTGGCCGAATGTGGCTGATGAATGGTCGCGAAGACAGTCTTTTCCACGCACCGTTGGATTTCTGATCGGCGTGTCTTTTACAATTTGCTGTTTCGTAGTCAATTTATGTCCCATGTATTATCTCTGCTCATAAAATTCCGTATCAACTTTTTGTCTACGCTTACGATTATGTTTTTTTTTTTACTGAAAGGGTGGTCCCATCTTCCATACCTTCGAGAAAATTGTATTTACATCGGCTTTTGGCGAATTCGCTCGCTTTCTTAAAACTTATTGTTGTTTGGTACATTTTATAATCTTCATAGCGATAACACATAAAACTGCATGATCGGGAAACAATAAAGATTGATAAGAGTAAGCTTAGCATTAGGATATTTTATAGGGTTGTTCGGAAAGTCATTTCGTTTTTTCCCGACAGAGGATTTNTGGATAAGAATTAATGCTGTATTGCTTAAAATCGCTTCGTAAATAAGCCATTATTTCTCGTAAAAAGTAAAGGATAAAAAATGGTTATTGTGGGTTATCCCTAAGAGATAGACGTATACCATCCCGGATTCTTTTGTAGACCTTTTTAAGGTGTACAATACTGTAGTACATTATTTTGGTCTATCTCGTAAGGTTCAGCCAGCATTTGCAATGTAAGCGCAAAAAATGTGTTTATTTATGACATGACATTAGAAACCTCTAAAATTATTAGTGTTTCTCTACTATATTATGCATGTATTATAGATATAAACCTTCCTCTTGAATTACTCTATCTATTTAAAAAAACCGCATCAAAATCCTTGACGTAGTTTTAAATATTTAAGCATACATAGGGACAGACAGCGAAAAGCAACTTTGTTTTATACTATGTAGTGATGCTTAATTGGGCAAATTATTTGTGTGTTTTATGAGAAAACCATCATAGGGTCGTCAGTCCTAAGACTGACTGGACACGCACCTTCACTCTATCCTATCCTGAGCTAAATCTTCGCATTTCCCTAAAACTAGAACATCCCACATCTTAAACTTTTTCTATATCAAACTATTCTCCAAAAGTAGTTTGTTTAGTTTATTATTTCTCTTGTCATATTATTTTCCATCTTTCTCTAGATATCCATTAAAGGTTTCAATTTAAATGTAGCTTTTGAAGAAGAAGGACGTTTGTAAATACTTTCAATAACATTGAAATTTGATTTAATTTAATTAAAAATCTTTTGTACGTACATGACGTCATGTTCCGCAGTAATATTATAATGTTGCTTTTCACTGAAATTGAATGGTTGGTTTTAGCTTAGCAGCGAATTTTTATGAATGTAAACATTAGTGTGCGCCTGCCCCAAGTCGTCTATGCATATTACCATTTACCCTTTTATTCAAAACAAAACGTCAGTGAATTTGTGCTGGTCTGGGGGCGCGATTAAACTCTTTCAAATTGTTTCCTACATTTCCTAAAGAAAAAAGAATGGTGGCAATATTAAAAACTAGGTAAACAAACTTAGGGTTTGGTCTGAGTGAAGGAATTCAAATTCGAAAATTTAGACATTCAGTAATTCCAATAGGTTCTACTTTAGTGTGCGTTTTTCATTTCCACAAAAAAAAAAACGAAATGACTTTCCGAACAACCCTATAGTTTAGTCAACAGAATCTATTCATTGAGAGCTAAAATGATCTATATACAAAAGAAGAAATGATTTATATAATTTACCTGATCTAGCGTAATTCGTTTGTTCTTAAAATCAGGTAAATAAGCCTAAGGTTTGGTCAGAGTGATGAGGAATTCAAATACGAAAATTTAAAAATTCGGCAACTCCGATACTATTTTTTCTACAACTACAATTATAATTGCGACAAGAGCCTAAGGTTTGGTATGAGTGAAGAGGTACTCAAATCCAAAAACTTAGAGACGGATTCTAGCAACAAGTGTGATAATTATAAAAAAAGGTAAACAAACCTAAAGTTTGATCTGAATGAAGACGAATTCAAATTCGAAAATTTAGACATTCAGTAATTCTAATAGGTTCTACTTTAGTGTGCGGTCTACCGAAAAGTGTGGCAATTTTAAGAACAGGTAAACAAACTTAGGNGAATGTAAACATTAGTGTGCGCCTGCCCCAAGTCGTCTATGCATATTACCATTTACCCTTTTATTCAAAACAAAACGTCAGTGAATTTGTGCTGGTCTGGGGGCGCGATTAAACTCTTTCAAATTGTTTCCTACATTTCCTAAAGAAAAAAGAATGTAACTAAAATTGTAAGTATTTTAACATCTAATTGGAATCTAATAATTAAAATCTGCCGTCTCCTTTTAAAAAGAAAAATATCAAAGTTCTTTTTATTAAAAAATTTCTGGTGTTTATCCTGTAGATGATACGAAGAAATGCATTTTTTATATTTTAGTTAGTGTCAAACGTGCTAGTAAAAAGTGTTTTCTAATCAAAACCTTTTATCAATAGAACTTGAGAACTCGCTGAAGGAAATGCTACATATTTATCCAAAAAGGGGTAACTAGCTCTTCAAACATAAAAATAAAATAGAATCGGATAATTCAATTGATTAATAAAATACACTTAAGTGTTGTTTTGAGCTGCTATTTAGTTTTTTTTTTACTTTTGTAGTCACGATAGTCCAAAAAATAGTTAATTACCCTGCGTATTCATAGCTCATCATTATTGACCCTACTTTCCCATAAAGCAACTCTTAATGAACGTATCATGTAATAAAAACGTGTGGACCCTTACGACATAATTAAAACATGAACGAATGGAATTAAAAAGACGTAATGTGCCCTATTATTATTAATATTGGTTATATTCTTGTTTCTAGAAATTGTCATACAGTTCATGAGTTTATTTTCTTGAACTAAAACTGCAAAGAAACTTAAGATCTAAAAATTTCCGCATCAAAAAATTGTGTTAGAATTTTTGTGTTGTATGATTATTTTAGATTATCGCGACGAATTGTCATTGTATTAAGTACCTAATATTAATACTTGAAAATTTGTTTAGAAGTACCGGATATAATGAATCATTTTTTTCGATTTCCTAAGATCACATTTTCATCGAAACATGTCACTATACGACACCCTGTCACGCTTTAACACACAAATTTAAATCGACTTAAACCACTGTAAAGAACGAAATCTACGTGTTAAATATTTGTAGATTGACTTAAAATGATCTGAAATTATAATTTATCACCACTGAAGTTGCGAAAACAAATGATTTAAATCAGTGTAAAAAGCGATATTAGTCCAAATTTGAAAATTGGTTAAAAGTGACACTTTTATCTTAAAAAATTGGTTGGGACCAATGCAAGTAGCGAAACTTTGGGCTTCTAATTTTGAAAATTGCTTAAAGAGGACCCAAAATTATGAATCACTGCCTTCGATTTCACAAAAGTGCATTTTCGACAGCACACATGGACATGTCACCTCACACCCTGTCGCCCTTATATCACACAAATTTGAATTGGTTTCAACTAGTGTAAAGTGTTAAATTATAGAAGTCCAAATTTGAAAATTGGTTAAACAGGACCAAAAATTATGAACTACTTCCTCTGATTTCTCAATAACACACTTTCATCAAAGCATATATGTCATCTCCCGACACCTTATCGTACATGTAGAATGAATGAAGTTTTTTGCGTCCAGAAAATTGGTCAAAAAGTACCAGAAATTACGAGTCATTTCTTTCGACATAAACCTATTTTTTTAAAACTCATGTTACCTTATCCCCGCGACACCCTGTCAAGCCAATATCATAGAAAATCACTTTAGACAATTTACAATTAAAAACACATGAGAACACAAAGAGAGATATACCAAGAACATGTTACATTACAACTCATTTACATGTGCCTACATTACGATTTTGATTATATTTTAGGTTATAAAGGAATGGGTTGTTCTGCAGCAAAAAATGTTACTATTGAACCCTTAAATGGGCATGCAGTTACAACAGATAGCAATTTATCGAGAAAAAATTCAAAGGCAAATCCCGTTATTACCAAAACTTCGTCCGATCCTCCTTTAGAAAGTGAAGAACCACAGACCGAAGTTTTAGAAAATATCACCATGAATAATGTACAAGAAACAAGTGAGTGCAAAAGTTTCGAAAACATATTTGGAAGAGCTTAACGTTTCTTAATTAAAGCCAAAATAGTTTATATCTATCAAAAATAATTAGGTTATTATTATTTGCTTTCCTTTTTTGTTCATATTGTCTCTGTTTCTCCCATTCTATGTCGATATTATTGAAGGTAAACAGAGCAGGTTGCGGCAGAGCAATTTTCAAGTACAATAAATAATTAATAAGCTACCAAGCCCTCGGCGTTTGTTCACGCGTTTCAATGTTTAGCCTATCATTACCGACTGTTTTGGTTCATAAAGTACTAATCGATTTGTTCAACAATCAAAACAGAGTAAAAAGGACTTCACCTGATCAATTTATTTCATAATTGATTTCGTTTACCTTTTCTTATCGTTCAAGTATTGTTCGGATTCGTACAAAAACGAAAATTTGACATTTGAGACATTGGAAAAACAAATCATGGTTTTGGTCATTTTATATGTATGAAGAAATATCTAAAAAAATCTCCTGCTTCTACAAAAGCTGTTCTTGCATGTTTGTATAGTCATCACGAGTGTATGTGCGATGTAATACATGTAATGTTTATATAAGAATGTGTAACACAACACCCCACCCCCTACTTGCTTTCGCCTTAGAATTCCCGTTAATCCTTATTTTGAATCCTTTTCGCGCTGATAAGAAATTTATTGAAATATTCGCCTTTTTATACAAAATTTAATTTTTAGCAAACGGGTTATCTTTTGATATCGCCTTTCAAGAAGACGATAAGGATGACAGTATAATAAAAAAGCATCCCCCAAAAAGGTTGCAAAAATTTGAAGAACCGCCCGTAGCCAATCCAGTCTCTTTGGAGCAATTGAAAGAAAAATTGGACGAGGCGGAAGAAAGGAGACAACAGGTTAATTAATTAAATTATTTTTAAAACTACCCAAAAAATCGCCTATTTTTTATTTAGTAATAAGGTTGGTTATATCAATTTAAACTGTTTGCAGATATTACAGCAAAGAATGGAATCTGCAAGAAATTCTTTTCGGAAACAATCGAGCATTTATTCAATCGACGAAGTCGACATGCAAAAACTTATAGTTCCTGAGGAAGTACACGGACAAATGAGCGAAACGGTCGTCTATTCAGAAAATTCGCACCACTGATGTAACAAATTAGACGACCACAATATAAATTTTTATACCTTAAATGTACATCACATAATTCCGTTCAATAAAATTATAAAGCTCTTTATATAAAAATATTAGTGATACCTACTAATGTAGGTACGTGCCTACCTGATCTCTGTCAAAGGATTATCTATTACCAAAATCTTTATTTATTCGTAAAGGGTCCTCAATAAAAAAAAGTCATTTCTATGCTCGCGAACGGCTAATTTAGAAATTCGAAAAAGATTGTTAAAGGTGTATGTTTGGAGCGCGACGCTGTATGGGTGCAAAATATGGACGATGGGCGTGCCAGAAAAAAAAAGGTTAGAAGCGTTCGAAATGTGGTGTTACAGGTGAATCATGAAGATATCGTGGATAGAGAAAGTTAGAAATGAAGAGGTATTAGAAAGAATAGGAGAACAGAGGACTCTGTGGAATTCAGTAAAAACTAGCTTGGTAGGATACCTTCTTAGGCATGAAGATCTAGTCAGAGACATATTAGAGGCAGAAACAGGAGTTAGAAGGGGTAGAGGTAGACCTAGATTAGATTACTAAGGATGTGGGTTGTTCTAGTTTTCGGGAAATGCGAAGATTAGCTCAGGATAGGAAAGAGTGGAGGTGCGTGTCCAACCAGTCTGAGGATTGACGATCCTATGATGATGATGATAGGGTCCTGACTTGAATAACTTACATGGAACTCCTTAAAGTTTTTGTCAAATTATAAAATCCTATTATACAAATCCTATGATACCTTGATTTGCATCATATAGGTTAATCTCATAAGGACCCTGAGATACGTTCCACGTAGGATACTGTAGTCAGAATTATTCTAAAGCATCCCGATCTGCCTCTCATAGGTTCCTTTATTTAGCACCCTACAAAACACTCCAATCTGCCCCTTATATAGATTAACCTGTTCTTATCAGGGTCCTATAAGTTGGTCCGATCCGAATAGATGTATTTGGGTCGTTATATAAGTGAGTACATGATTCGGTCCTGATCAAAATTTCTTATTTGAGCCCTAATATATCAGCTGGGTTTCTTGATTCGATTAGGATCCCAGCTTTACATATTTTCTATTCGGGTCATTTAGATACTTAATTGAACACCTTCATTAAAAATTGCCAAAACAACGTAAACAAATCTAAATATTAAAGAAAAATGACTTACACATAATAACTGCAGCCATTTTGCTACCAACAAATGTCTTCAATCGAAAGAAATTATCACCTTTTTGTTCATCACTATTGTAAGATTATTATCGCACATAAATAAAAGTACAGTATCCCGTTTTGACACCATAATCCTAGTACCCGCGAACGTAAAGCACTAAATACCAAAATTTTAATTATATTTAGTAAAATCGATCATAATGGTTTCACTATCGATCCCGTAAACAATAACCTTAAATCTGCTCGACCGCGGTCACCTACTTCGTTTTCGCATTTTTTGCCAATGTATAATTCTGTAGTATATTAAAATTGTTATTTATAATTATAAATAAACATAAAAGATTATTTAAAACTGTATTAAACGTATTTTAGATCTATAAACTGCTTAAAAAGGGACTAATTTCACAAACAAATGCGATCACAAAGTAAGTGCTTCTACATTAATGACATTTACATACGTAGTACGCAGACTCTTCTCTGTTGTTCTCATGGCTCACTTAAGTAACTTTTAATTTGCTTAAAGAAATACAAGGAATTTATTTAGAAAATTATCAGTTGGAAAACAAATTAAACAAATGCATTAATTTAGCATTTGAATTACTTTTATTTAATATTGCATTTGTCTGATTGTATTATTTAATTTTTTAATTACTGACACAAAGAAATGTATATAAACTTTGTTGAGTTAAAAGAAAAGCAAATAGGGAGAGGAATTCGTACTGGGCTGATACACTGTTATAAAAATAGACCACTAAATATATTTTAAAATCAATTATTACTGAAAAATAACTTACATTTGATGACTCCAGCCGGTCTGATATTAATTATTGATTACAATCGTCAGAAATCATTGATACAGTTCATAAAACAAACGCAGTTCATCACTATTATTGTCAAATAACCGCACTCAGACAATAATAATGTATCTATTTCGAACTAAAACCCGATAAAACAAATTTTTGTTCACCACCATTATAGTCATGTTCCCGAACAATCTGGACGGCCACGGTCACCTCATTCGTTATCGCATTTTTTATGTTTTTACTTTGTGTATGTAAATTGTACCTACTTTATAATGATATCAATACACAAAAGAATATTAAAGGTTACATATAAACACGTATTTGATTTATAAATTAGTTAAAAACAAATTAATTGCACAAGAAATGCGATCACGAAAGACTAATGACAGTTAGTAGGTGGGAGGTTCATAGAGCTCTGTTGTTTTCCAGGCTCACTTAGTTAAGTGTTTATACAAAAATAAAATGAAAAGAAAAGAGAAAGTGCTAATTTTTGCAAATTAAAGTAAAAATCATTTTTAAACAGTTTTTGAAATGAATTATTTGATAATATTAATAAAAATAATGATAATTAAAAATAATACAGCAGATATTTATAAAATAAAATAAAACGCTGGTGTGAAAAATAACAAAGTTGTTTAGGAAGAATATTTTATTGTATGCAGGATAAAATGTTGAGAGAGAGACACTAAGAAAGTACTTAATTGTGTTTTAATAAATTATGATTATACTTATACCGCTTTTTCTCATGGTAAAGTAAAATTAGAAATTTATTTAAACCTATTTTATTAGTTAATCATTTTTTATACAATTCTTTTTAACAGTTATTTATAATACCCGTAAACTTTTCATTTGATTTATTTGGGATTTAATAAATCTCTTTGTTTAATTCATATATAAAACAACATTTTATTTATAAACATAATTTACAAACCACTATACGTAAATAGTGGACATGATAAATATTACAAAGTCTTTTTCTGTTTTTACATTTAAATTGTACCTAATGTGCGTTAAAAGTGACATCGATTCCTATAGATATAATTACAATTAGTACGTACAATGAAAAAAGTACCATTATGCAAGCAGATTTACTAAAAGGTGCTAACTTTATCCAGCACCGCTGCTATTTACTAAAGAGTGGAAAGGAACCGTTCAACTTTTCTATAAAGTGCAACCTTTAATTGTTGCCAAAACTCAAAACAATTGTTTTAAAATGACATTACTATCAGTTGTTGCCAAAACAATTGTAAATAACATCGCAATAATCCAAACAATGCTAGTCATGACTCAACAGTTTTAAGTGCAATTGCTGCCAATTATTGCCAAAAGAATTACCACTCTGTAGCAAAAGAATCAGCACCAAACAATACTAGTCGTTGCTCAATTGTTTTAAAGTGCCATTACTATTAGTTGTTGCCAAAACAATTGGCACTGTGTTACAACAATGCTAATCGAGGCTTAACTGTTTTAAAGTGGTATTGCTGACAATTGTTGGAAAAACAATTGGCACTCTGTAGTAAATGACATCGCTACAACCTAAACAATAGGAGAAATTGCTCAAATGTTTTAAAGTGCCATTGCTGTCAGTTGTTACCAAAACAATCGGCACTCTGTAGTAAATGGTACCGCTACTACTCAAACAATGTAATCGTTGCTCAATTGTTTGAAAGTGCCGTTACTGTCAGTTGATACCAAACCAATCGTCACTCTGTAGTAAACGATATCGTTGCAATCTATTATTTTATAGCATCATTTTTATCAATTGTTACCGAACCAGTTACGACTCTGTAATAAATAGCATCGCTGCAATAGCATGTTGGTACTAGCACTCATAATTAATTTTAGTGAACCTGCTTGATAGAATTATGTTTAGCTTAAGTCTACAGCACACTTAATTTAGGATTTATTTCTTATCAATATTATGAATTACTTCTTCGATTTCTTGTTTTACTCTTAATTTTCTGCTCCGAACTACAAAGATATCAGTGACGACAAAAACAATTTTATCAAATGTAAAATAAATATCTAAAATTTGTTGGTATTTTAAAAAAATATTCTTCTTTTATAGCACTATCTAATTAGTTGTTTATGTTACTATAAAGTGATTTACGAAGTAAACATATTCTTTGTCCTCTGTTACAAAAATTGTTTGACACGCCACTGACCTTTTCAAATCTCTTAGTACAGTGTTTTGGTGTAAATTGTACATTAGCACACGAGGAAATTGTGACCTGGAAAGAAACTCCGAAAGACTGAAGTTTTGAAGGCAATCTTTAATCTTTCAAAGCATTTTTAAGGCTTAATTAAGGCGTTCAAACCGAAAAAAAAAAGAAACCTTAATTAGAATTAATTAAAAATTAAATTTGTAGTAAGTACGTATAAAATGATCTGGTAGCAAAACTGATAAAACTGCGTACGACAAACTAAATTCGTTGTAAAATATTCCATGCATCATCAATTCTTTTTATTAACTTTTAATGGACAGTATCACCTTTAACTTAACTTCTTATATCCAAATATTCATATTTAAAGGAACTACAACTATATGATCATGTTAGAGATCAATAATCAATCAATCAATCATTCGTTATATTATTAAGTAACAGCATAATTTTTGCTTTTTAAATTACAAAGAAATTCTAGGTACTCCTACGAAAAATATGTAGGTACCACAACAAAATGAATGACCTTGTTTTACATCAAGGCATTCTAGGTTTATTAAATGAATTTCCGACTTACTTTTTGTCAAAATTAAAAAGTTTTAAAATTAAATAAGAGTTTTTTTCCAGTACAACAAGTCAACACATTTTATATTGCGTTTATAATATTGTCATTACAGAAATGATGATAAAGTCAAAGTTCTTATCGTGTGGGTTATATATTTTTACCATTAAAGTCAATCATATCGGTAAGAAAAATAATTTGGACCAAGAAGACCCAACAGACATATAATTTTCTGGGGTTGTATAAAAATTTTTTCATTAACAGTTGTCCATTTTGTCACTTCAGCGATTTACAGTAACAACTTTTGTCAATGAGAAGTCAATAATTGTCCTCTCTTTTTCTTTTTTTTTCCCCAATCAATATCCAAAGCTATATGTTCGAAATAATCAAATATTTTTATAGTAGTTACGCATTTTAATTATTTGATTCATATAGTTGGTGACCTTTGCACCCGCACGACAAGACCGCATTGAACCATATCTCTGGGACACATTAATTAATTAATAGCAAAACGTATAAAACCTTTCCATAACTAAATATGCATTTAATGGGGTAATAACATTTTCAAAAAACGTAACAACGCCTTTCATGAAACAGCCGCCGAATTATTTTTTAGGAGTAGTTCTAATTTAAATAACAACGTTAATTAAAATAAGAGTAATTACATATCTATTAAAATGTCTTTTAAAGCATTGCAAAAATTTATTATTGCTTTAGGTAAACAAATAATACTGTTAAATGTTGTAGTGAACATTCAAATGTATGGTGATTAATAATTTTCAGGTGTGATCTTCCGTACTTGTCGAGTAATCTATTATTACATTAGAAAAATTACAATAATTGGGCATAGGAAAATGAAGACAGTGCTAGTTACCGTATTGTGATTACCAAAACGGTCTTATGCACATTGTTACATGTTTGCTGCTCCTGTTTTTCGTTTTGTTGTGTTGTGTGTTTTTGATAACCACAATAATTTTAGTTGTCTATGACTTGGCTAAAAGTTACTTCCACCTATTTCCTTATTAATAGCAAAATGATGGAAGACAGCCTTTTATTCATAATTTAATACTGATTTACTTTTCAATAACACTGAGATTGAAACTAAATTCCTTTTTATCCGTGTGTACCACCATAATTAATGTCTCATATTATTTTTTACGAGGTTTGTCTTATTAAAATTGTCAAATTTAGTCGTGCTAAAGTCGATGGGTTAATGTTTTCTATGATTAGATAATATAACAAAAAATAGCAGTACTTATGCTAATTTTACTTTTAATCAATTTCAAGTTCATATCACCACCCTGAACTCCTTTCTTTAAACTATACTCACATTGAGATATTCAAAATTTAATTTTAAATTTACTTGTCCTCACACTACGTTTTCATGATGAGACACAGATGAGCACGCATGAGCTAACTGCGAGACGTAGAGGAGTCCTGAAAACATCGAATTTGACATACGAAGCTTTGCCCACATCAGATTGAAATGTTTAATTTTAAGTTCACTTGTCCTCATTAGACAGACAATACGTTTTCGTGATGAGTTATAAATGAGCAAGCACGAGCTAACTACGAGACGTAGAGGAGTTCTGAAAACACTGAATTTGACATATGAAGACTTTACCCACATTCGATTGAAATATTTAATTTTAAGTTTACTTGTCCTCATTAGACAGGCAATACGTTTTCATGATGAGTAATAAATGAGTACGCATGAGCTATCCGCCAGACGCAAAGGAGTTCTACTAAAAACACTGAATCTAATATATAAAGACTTTACCAACATTAAACTCAAACATTTAGTTTTAAATTTACTTGTTTTCATGAGACAGACAGTACGTTTTCTTAATGAGTCATGGATGAGCACGTATGAACAGACCAGAAGAAGTAAAGGAGTCTTAGAAACATCAAATCTGACGTATGAAAACCATGCTCTCATTAAGATCAAATATTTAATTTTAAACGTCATTGTTCTCATGAGATACACAATACGTTTTCATAATGAGTCATAAATGAGCACGCATGAACAGACCACAAGACGTAAACGAGTCCTAAAGACATCGAATCTCACGTATGAAAACCATGCTCTCATTAAGATCAAATATTTAATTTTAAACGTCATTGTTCTCATGAGATATACAATACGTTTTCATAATGAGTCATAAATGAGCATGCATGAACAGACCACAAGACGTAAACGAGTCCTAATGACATCGAATCTGACGTATGAAAACCATGCTCACATTAAGATCAAATATTTAATTTTAAACGTCATTGTTCTCATGAGATACACAATACGTTTTCAGTAATGAGTCATAGATGAGCAAGTATGAGCTAACTGTGAGACGTAAAGGAGTTTTGAAAACATCGAATTTAACAAATGAAAACTTCGCCCAATTGTCCACATTAAATATTTAATTTTAAATTTACTTGTTCTAATGAGACAGACATTACGTTTTTATGACGAGTCCTTAATGAGCACGTATGACCTAACCGAGGGTCCTGAAAACATTGACTCTGATGGAGATGAAGACTTTATCCAACTTAGAATAATAAAAATGCCCAGTTATCGATTTTAGGGTGGTGAAACGGTTTGTAAAAGCGTGGTGCACACAGATTTTCAGTATTTTCTAATTCGTTATTGGTCGTCTTTCCAATATAGAAACATTAATATTACTTTTATTTTCACTATAACTAACACACAGCCGCTATATTTATAATATTCATATAAATATCATTATAAATTATTATTATTTTTTTATTTTATTACACTAGTCCACCATGCACGATTGGAACACTTTTTGAGCGATATACACAAAAGGAATACTTCAATATCAAATATTTTTTTAAATTCAATTAAGTACATAATATGTTACGTACATACGTACTCATGTACTATGTTTGTAGATTTGTTTTTGAGTCATAGGTACACAAAAATCAATCCCATCGCGCTACGGAACAGGGCCGGCTTAGGTCGCCGAATGTCGTTTTTGTTGTTGGCACAAGAGAAATACGTTACAATTTTTTATTTTACGAAACGAGGGGCATGGCCTACTCAGCGAAGTGCACCCTCAGGTCCATGCCCCCTCTGCGCTGCTAGTTGTAGAATCCCCTGTTCATTGCAGCCCTGTTACGGTTATGCCACTTGCACTGTAAAATTCTTAGGTAGGTACGTCGAAAACTTGCGTTACACAGGGCGTAACACATGGGGTTAATTGTCGAATTGATGTAACAAAGGTAGTAGAAAAAGTCCCACACCTGCACACAATATTCACTGTTCAATTCGTACCTGGTTATTTCAAAAAAATTAAACTCAAAAGGCGAGTAACGATATGACCTTTATTTGACCCCATAAGGTACATGCAGATCGTCTAGATATAAAAAAAAACTTTTGGGGGTTTCATTCCCACCAGCCAGTAATGCTGATGGGCGAGCAGTCCCTCCGGACTACGCCGGAAGGTAGGACCGAAGGCCCTCTTCAGTCTGCTTTCAGGAATCGTGGGAATGGGTGGGTGGTGGTTCGGGTGAGAAAGTTAAGATGGACGAAATGAAGACAGAAGAGAATGAAAGATTATCTGTGGAATATTACCTAATACCTCTTCATTTCTAACCTTCTCTATATATATTATTATATACCACCCCCCCCCCTCCGAGCTACCGACCCATCATCTAGATAGTAACCATTTTCCGCGGGCCTACTTCATCACTCTCACTTTTTATGAATAGGGATAAAGTCTTTAGACCTTTATTGGATCTCTCCCTACCTCCTCCAATCCCCATTACAACTACCCATAACAATACTAATTTGAAATCATTCTCTCGATTTTTTATTTACCCACTACAAACTACCTCAAATTAATTGTTGCCGTTGTCACACCCCCGCCGGGAATCGAACCCGACTCGACCTTTGGCTTTACTTTACTGTTGTCACCTTTCGTACCTTAGTGGTCAGAGCATCGGTGCGTAAAGCCAAAGATCCCNAAAAAAAAACTTTTGGGGGTTTCATTCCCACCAGCCAGTAATGCTGATGGGCGAGCAGTCCCTCCGGACTACGCCGGAAGGTAGGACCGAAGGCCCTCTTCAGTCTGCTTTCAGGAATCGTGGGAATGGGTGGGTGGTGGTTCGGGTGAGAAAGTTAAGATGGACGAAATGAAGACAGAAGAGAATGAAAGATTATCTGTGAAATATTACTGCCCCAGCATTTGCCTAAGTGATCCAAGGAAACAACAGAAAAACTTGGACCAAGGCAGACGGACCCGGAATCGAACCGGCGTCCTCCCGAATGCTAAGCAATGGTCTAAACTCGTCTAGATATCGATCTGTATATATATGGAAGATGTGCTCAATATTATTATAAGCATGTTTGAGATTTGGGGATGATAAACGTGGATGGTAGGCTGATGGGCGCGACGGAAAAGACAAAGTTATATGGTGACATGTGGATGATGAACCTACCATGACTGGAAACGAGAAAATGTTGGAGAAAATGTAGGAGAATTATAAAGGACACTGCGGAAGTCAACAATGGGGGTGGATAGACATGATAGTAGGGCACCATTAGCATGTTTTAGATTTGGGGATGATAAATGTGGATGGTGGGCTGTTAGGCGCGACGGAGAAGAAAAAGTTGAAAGCATTTGAGATATGGTGACATGTGGATGATGACCCTGCCATGACTAAAAACGAAAAAGTATTGGAGAAAACGTAGGAGAATTATAGAGGATACTGCGGAAGTCAACGATGGGGAAGGATAGACATGATAGTAGAACACCATTAGCAAGTTTTAGATTTGGGGATCATAAATGTGGATAGTGAGCTGATGGGCGCGACGGAGAAGAAAAAGTTGGAAGCATTTGAGATATGGTGATATGTGGATGATGAACAAACCATGACTAGAAACGAGAATGTGTTGGAGAAAATGTAGGAGAATTGTAGAGGTCACTGTGGAAGTCAACATGGGAAAGGATAGACATGATACTACTATCATAGACATGATAGTAGGACACCATTAGCACGTTTTAGATTTAGGGATGATAAATGTGGATGATGGGCTGATGGGCGCGACGGAAAAGAAAAAGTTGGGAGCATTTGAGATATGGTGAGATATGGATGATGAACCTACCATGTAGGAGAATTATAGAGGACACTATGGAAGTCAACGTGGGGAAAGATAGACATGATAGTAGGGCACCGTCTGAGAGATGGAGGACTACTTAGACCATAAAGTACCTATAGATCGTCCAGATATGATAGCTTACCTATCAATCTGTAAATGTATGAAAGATGTGCTCAATATTATTATTATTGGCCTGTTTTAGATTTGCGGATGATAAACGTGAATGGTGAGCTGGTGGGTGCGATGGAGAAGAAAAAGTTGGAAGCATTTGAAGTATGGTGACATTTGAATGATGAACCTACCATGACTAGAAACGAAAAAGCATTGGAGAAAAAAGGAGGACACTGTGGAAGTCAACATCTGGAAGGATAGACACCATCTGGACTATGTAGAGACATATTAGTTAGAGATACGGGATGTAGGTTTCGGGAAATGCAAATATTGGCTGAGAGAATACGAAATAGAGTACATGATGACGACAAAAATTTGAACATTTTCTGTCTACTATTTATGACCAAGAGTAAGTTGCTGTTCACCTCAACCAAATGGTCTGATGGGACCAAATAAAGGCACTACTGTTGCCTCTCCTTCGGGGAGAATTATAGTACAAAAAATAAATCCTGGATGCAGGGAGTAATTCTTAAGGTATGGTGGATTAAAAATTTATGAGTCTTGAAGTTGCTGTGTTTGAGAAAACTTTAGAAGATACCAGTATCACCAAATGACATCAATATCTATTTTGGTTCGAATTTTTCTCCATCACAAACATACCAAAATTGAACTTGAATGAATCAAATTAATAGAAATTGTCATATTTACCTGTGAAGGAATCTTCGCGCCGGGTGCCACCGGTTTTAGCAACACCAAAATATTGTATGGAGTCCAGGTGATTATAAAAGTTAACAGAATAGCTGATAAGGTTTTAGCAGCTTTTTTGTCGGCTTTCTTCTCAGTTGCCCGTTTCTTCTTTTTGGCTTGCGTTTTGGTGACGGTGGTTAGAAGCGTCTTCCCTCCCATTTGTTTAGGAATAATTTTAGCATTCAATGGAATTCTGCGAAACAAATTTATGTTCTACGTTCCCTATGAGTGCATTAAACGGATTTACCTAATGTCCGACACGGCCGATGGTCTTCTATTCAGATGATTTGCTTGGACGTACGGATAATCCATATCTCCAGCGGCGTGGGTTCGTAAAGGCCTCGGGATGTCTTCAGGAATCATTTTGATCGAAGGTGCTTCATTGGTGGGAGCACCCTCGTTAGTATCACCTGGAAGTCGAATTAGGATTGTGTAGATGCTGTCGTTTGAAATTGATCGTGTTCCTAGTCGATTGGCTACAGGCAAGCTTCGGGAATCTCGTGGAACCATCCTAGTTGGAGTCATGTTGGAATGAGACAATACTAAGTCCCTTTGAGGAACTGATAGACCCGCTACGTAAGGATCTCTGAAAATAGAATACGAAACACTTAGACATTATTTTTGGGTTTGATGGATGTGGTTCTGGATTTCTTTTTTTCTAGCTGACCCTCCGGTAGGGGTTGTACCTATTCCTGACGTTTCGCCTTTAATTATGAAAGGCAACTCAAGAATTATTCCTGTATGAAACACGTGATAGTGACAACAGGATTGAGACGTTTCGATTTCTGGCGTCACCAAGGGGGTGATTTCCAAATAATGAATATTTAGGAGTTCGTTGGTCAAACCTAAACTAGGACCTTTGATTGTAATAAATACACGCTTCCCAATAATAATTGTTTGGTGGCAATTTTCTCTGTAAATCCTTGTGTGTGAGACAGATTGAAATTTTTGGACTGATCCTTGAATTTTTTTCTAAACAAAGGGTGAAAAGAAGTTGATAGAAGAATTTCCCATTTTTTTTTTTCAAACAGAGAAGGATCGAAAATAAGCACTTCTGTTACATTTCGAATAATAGTCGGAATGTAGGTCAAAAGAATAAAATGTGTGGTCGGGACCGTGTACCTATACAGACCATTTTCGATTACATTTATTAGAAAAACATTGTGCAAGTAACGAATCGATTTTCTGTCTTTGTTGGGTCTATATACACATACTATATAATATATATATATTTATACGCAGATATATACACATATAAAAAACCTTTTATCGCTTGAAGTACCATTTATCTATTGGAAGTCACCGTTGAACGCAATCAAATTATCCATATAATGGGTGTTTAGTTGACACGCGCTTTCCTTCTCATGGTCATCTAGTGGCTACAGCCTTGTCCGACTGAAGTGCGCGGTTATTGCTAATCTCTCTCTGTCAACCCGCAACCACCCTTCCTGTGTATCCATACACGTGATATACTTTCGAACGACTAACCCGGATAAAAAGACTTCTTGCCATTTCTATAGTACATTACAAATCAGGAATTTTCATATGTACCTACACCCAAATATTTTACGTCGTTTTATTTTCTTATCACTGTCGTATAACGGACACGAAGAGACTAAGAATTCTGTTCGTTATAACCGGGTGTTCGTTATTAACGATTTTCATTAATGTCCTATTGCAAGAACAATACTGCATCAGTGTATTAAAATGTATTCCTATTGATTATTCAAAAGCTGTTAGTATTTTTGTCTGTCTGTCTCGCTGTCTACACGTGTTAATCTTCGAAACAACTGAACCGATTTTGATGAAACGTTAGGGTGATGAAAAGGGTGCTATCACGTGTATGTGTTTTAAACTGTTTATTAGTTACAACAATTGTATTTATTATTAATAGTTAGAAACAGTTTCACGTTGAATGAAGCCATTACCACACAAAAACTTAAGGAAACTGTCATAAACATTTATGTAACAGGTCAATTGAAAAGTCCCCGGCCTAAAATAGTAAAACACATTTTTTTTGCAAAATTCGTTTTTTTTATTCAACATAATTCTCTTCAAGGGTGATACACTGATTATAGCGATCCTCCAACTTTTCGATACCATTTTTGTAGTACGATTTGTCCTTTGCTTCAAAATAGGCTTCAGTTTCGGCGATCACCTCTTCATTCGACGAAAATTTTTTCCCAACGAGCATTCTTTTGATATCTGAGAACAGGAAGTAGTCGCTGGGGGCCAGATCTGGAGAATACGGTGGATGCGGAAGCAATTCGAAGCCCAATTCATGAATTTTTGGCATCGTTTTCACTGACTTGTGAGACGGTGCATTGTCTTGGTGAAGCAGGACTTTCTTTTTCTGCAAATGCGGTCGTTTCTCGGCGATTTCGTCCTTCAAACGGTCCAATAACGCTATGTAATAGTCGCTGTTGATGGTCCTTCCTTTTTCAAGGTAGTCAATGAAAATTATTCCACGCGCATCCCAAAATACAGACGCCATAACCTTGCCAGCCGACTGTTGCGTTTTTGCACGCTTTGGAGCGGGTTCATCGTGTGCAGTCCACTCCGATGACTGTCGATTGGACTTCGGAGTGAAATGATGGAGCCATGTTTCATCCATTGTCACATATCGACGCAAAAACTCGGGTTTATTACGCGTGATCATCTTCAAACACTGCTCTGAATCATCAACTCGTCGTTGTTTTTGGTCAAAAGTGAGCTCGCGCGGCACCCACTTTGCACAGAGCTTTCTCATACCCAAATATTCGTGAATGATGTGATGTATACGTTCCGTTGATATCTGTAGAGTGTCTGCTATTTCATTCAATTTCAATTTACGGTCATTCAAAATCATTTTGTGGATTTTTTTAATGTTTTTGTCCGTAACAGCCTCTTTTGGGCGTCCACTGCGTTCACCGTCTTCGGTGCTCATTTCACCACGTCTAAACTTAGCATACCAATCCTTGATGGTTGATTTTTCTGGGGCAGTGTCCGGAAATTCGTTATCAAGCCAAGTTTTTGCTTCAACTGTATTTTTTCCCTTCAAAAAGCAATATTTTATCAACACGCGAAATTCCTTTTTATCCATTTTTTTCACAATAACAAAAGTTGCTTCACTAAAAATGCTATAATTCACAAACTAATGATCCGACAGCCGTCAAATTTATAGACGCGTCTTTTGAAGGTTAGGACTAACTGAAAATCATATGGATTTAGTTCTGGTGCCGCCATCTATGTGTCAGGCCGGGGACTTTTCAATTGACCCTAGTACATTTTCGTGATGCTTTAGGTTTAACTCCTAATAATTTTGTTGTTAAACTTTCAAAGCTGCCGTCTGTCATTTTTAAGGTTTAGTTGAAATCTGTGTTGGGTTTTATGAGTACACCACCCTTAAAAGCCAAAAAGGAATAAACGGAAAAGGATTTGAATGTATTTTGATAAAGATTTTCCGAAGGAATCGGTAGTTTACCTATCCATTAGCTGCACAAACAGCTTGCGATTGACTAAGTACATACGTACGTATATATGCGTGTTGTTTGAACAAGCCTTCGAAGATGTAATGAAAGTTAGATCGAAACGGGTATTAACTATCCACTAAATGTCGCGAAAAGTTAAAGCACATCGATAAAATAACACACAGGGGTAGATCTTTGCTTATTGAACACAAATGTGGATAAATAAGCAGAGTTTATCTTACCTTATCATATTTAGCGAAGTACATCTAGAAACTGAACTTTGCACAGGAGTTTCAAGGGTCATTGGTGTAGAACAGCCGGGTGCGTGCTCACTGGGACTTTCATCCTCAGTATCACTATCTTCCCTGCCCGAATGCCACCACGCCACACACCAATCCCGGACGTTCCAAAACCAGGAGAACCATCCGACCCGTTTCTAAACATCAAAAGGAACTTCCATGACTATTATTTGGATACAAATCAAACGGAAGACAAACATGGCATGCAATCAACCACCAATTTAGCAGTTTAACTGACGTACAGTAATCAGTTGCTAATTCAGAAATCAATCTACTGATTTCTTACGCGCTGCAAGTATTGCAGCCACAATAGAATCCTATATTAATTGAAAGTTAACTATAAGAAGTTCAGTAATAATATAATATAAAAGATTGATTAAATATTCGTATTAACGTTTTATTTGCAGCAATTTTATGTTTTACAGTCGATCAGGTTTGATGGAAAAAATAAGCCGTTCGGTTTAGGATTGTATTTTTAAATATATTAGATATTGTAAACCGGAAATGATAAAAAGGAAACTGATGTAGAAGTTATGTTAATGACACATGTCTGATATAAATAGACACATGAGTTACGTAAAACGTTACAAAAAAGGGGAAAATGGAATATTTTTTGGGTATGAGCACCTTATGATGACGATGATATAGTTGGGACGTTCAGAATTGGCATAATCCGCAATAAAACTGTCGCTTTTACTTCTTTTTTTCAACATACTAACTAGACTAGAGCAATTGTTGACAGAACGACTACTTTTTACTCACGACAGACGTTGTATGATACGGAATATCGTAAACATAGAAAAGAGATGCCAGATTGGAATTGCAGCGGACACTAATGAAGAAAAAGGAATAACATTACACCAATTAATGTGTAACAGAAAAAGAAGCAGACAAGCAGAATTCGATTATCGGACTTTAAAGAAAGTTCAACATTCTTGTCCCAACTGTAGGTATTTGCGAACAGTAATCTAATCTAGGTCTACCTCCACCCTTCAAAACTCCTGCTTCTGCCTCTTATATGTCTTTGACTACACTTTCATGCCTTAGAAGGTGTCCTACCAACCTATCTCGTCAATTTTTTATTGACTTCCATGGAGTCCTCTGTTCTCCTATTCTTTTCAATACCTCTTCATTTTTAACCTTTTATATCCACGATATCCTCATCATACGCCTATAACACCACATTTCGAACGCTTCTAACCTTTTCTTTTCCACCGCGCCCACTGTCCATGTTTCGCATCCGAACAACGCCGTGCTCCAAACATACACTTTTAACAACCTTTTCCGAATTTCTAAATTAACCGTTCGAGAGCATAGAACTGACTTCTTTTTATTAAAGGCGACACGACCTTCCGCTATCCTCTGCTTTATATCCCTACTACTCCTTCCATCCTCACTTATCTGACTTCCTAGGTATCTAAAATGAGCCACTTCTTCTAATTTTTCTTCTCCTATCTTTATGCTCGCTCTTTCCCTACTTTTTCTTCCCTTGCATACCAGTATTTTAGTTTTACTTTTATTTATTTTCATACAGTACTGATCTGTCAGTACCGCTTGCATTTTATTTAAAGCTATCTCTAGCTTCTCCTTGCTAGATGCTAATACTGCTATATCATCTGTAAAGCTAAGCATACTAATTTTTTTCCCTTGCACATCTATCCCTACAGTTGTACTGTCTTTAATGATGTTGATGGCGTCTTCGATGTATAGATTAAAGAGTAGCGGTGACAGTGTGCATCCCTGCCTGACTCCCTTCCTAATATTTACTTCTCTACGTTGCACCCCCAACTCTATAACTGCCTGTTGCTCTTTATACAAACTAAGTATCACTCTCCTATCTTTGTAATTCATCCCTACATTTTTAAGTATATTTAACATCTTGCCCCATTTAACATTGTCAAAAGCTTTTTCTAAATCTACAAATCCTATGCACGCACTCTTTCCTTTTTCTATCGTTTTCTCTATTGCTAGCCGTAAAGCTAGAATGGCCTCTCGCGTTCCTCTATTTCTTCTAAACTCAAATTGATCTTCCCCTAATAGTTCTTCCGCCCTTTTTTCCATCCTCCTCTGTACAATTCTAGTTAAAATGTAGGTATCGCCTTTCAAAAATTATTTGGATAATGTAATTGATAATTTCTGTGACTGATACAATATCGTACAAGTTGAGGTAAATTCCTTTTGAATCGATCATAGATCAGACTATTTCCAAATATTAACAAAAATGAGTACTGAATATATGAAGTCACTTTAACCAGTACCCGACTGTATTATTTTCACGAAAATTTTACTCTTTGTCGATGTTTGATATTACACATCATTGGAGACTATTGTAAAAAGCTAATAAGACTCCGGGACAAATATTATTTGAAACAGGAGGATAAAAGTTTTGTTATACCTCCGTTTTCAATCACCTGCCGCCGCTTGATAGTGTTCTAGAGGCTTTTGGTAGGATATCGAATGCCAACCTGTCGGAATTTAAACGCGTGTCATGACGAGTAACGATAACTTTTCCATTGCTTGCCATCAGTGTCTTCGCTATTCGTTTCGGATTTCGCTTCAGACGCTTCGCGTAGCGTGAGAGAGAGATATGCTCGGGGATGTTCCTTCGTTGGTTTGTTCAGCAGCGGCAGCCAACTGGTGGCGATAATGGTCTCATTTCACGTGAACTACTACTCCTTTACTGCGCAATAGTCCCGGATTTTATCGTTTCGGGATTCAATTTCGAACCTTACTATTATAGGTATCGTATCGCGTGGTGGACGGGGTAAAAATTAGGGTTGTTTTCTTACTCACTTCCGATCGATATTCGCGAAAGCGAGAAAAAACGTATGATGCTCAATCTACAAGGTGACCCATAGAAAACAAATACAATTTTATACTTTTGACATGATTTTTGTACAAACAGCTCAGACATTTCGATTGTGATTATAAAGAAGACATCTAAATTCAATGTGTTCGTATGAAACACTTTGAAATTCAATAATGGTTAATATTAAATTGTCACCTTTCGTACCTTAGTGGTCAGAGCATCGGTGCGTAAAGCCAAAGATCCCGGGTTCGATTCTCGGCGAGGTTGTTACAATAGTAACAGTTTTTCTTCAATAACTTGAAGTAATTTACAGTGGATAAAAATTAAAAATGAATTTTGACATGTTTTCATTCATGTTACTTCAACCTCAAAAAGGGAAGGGTCATCACCTTTACATTTTTAAGCGGAAGGTCAAGACAAACGACACACCTTCTGAAAGATGTTTTAATTCCCTGTGCAACAGGTTTTTTTTTCATTAATATTGGACAACTAATCTCCGAGAAAATGCGCCCTCAAAATAACATTAATTAAGACACATTAAGAGTAGAGTAAAGTCAAATAAGCGTTGGTTGCTATGACATTTAAAAATTCAAGGGTGCTGTCCCTCCCAGCTTTGGGGTTGCAGAAACATAAAAAAAAACAATTAAATTTAGATACCGCTCTTACAACCAAAATGGAGCTTTTTGCTCAAAAATCGTGCTAAATGGTATAAAATCGAACTTCCTTTTTTCAATGGGCAACCCTGTATATTTTCTTTATAAAGTAAACAACAGAATCAGTATTTTATCAAAAACATTTCTTTTTATTTTTTTTTTCTATGTCAGGCTTCCCGATCCGATTCGGTGATGAGTTTCACAAAAAATTCGATGTCCAATCGCATTACATAATTCGGTATGACAACGGTTGCCGCAAGTTTATCCGCACCATTTGCTTCGATTGACAAGCGATAACACACTAAAACCCCTACTTTTTTTTACAAGTTCTTTTATTATTAGAGCCATTTTACGAAAGCAATTTATTTTGGTACTATTAATAGACACATAACGATTTACTTTTTTTTGTTGTTTTTTTTTTGGGGACTCTTCCTCCCTCTTCATCATGTGAAAATGTGGCTTACCTAGCATTTTCACTGACCCCCCTTAGCAAATATTACGTCACAGGAACTCGCCCATCGCTCTATTAACGATTTTACAATTTCCAAGTTACGAAAAAAAATTGAAATAAAGTTCAATATTATATATATANGACAACAACAACCACGACCAACCGACCTACAAGGTTAACGATCCGTCGAACTAATGTAACTATATACTGAATATACTATGATTAAACATACATATAATTTAGATATCTTTTAGAAGTGAGTTAGTTTAATATGAAATATTATTCTGAAAATTCATTTCTGAATTTTTTACCCACTACACGCTACCTCAAATTAATGAGGGAAAAATTGTTGCTGTTGTCGCACCCCCGCCGGGAATCGAACCCGGGACCTTTGGCTTTACGCACCAATGTTCTGACCACTAAACTACGAGAGGTGACAACAGCAACCACGACCAACCGACCTACAAGGTTAACGATCCGTCGATTTTTATTAACTTATTTATATATATACACATTGGTGCGTAAAGCCAAAGGTCCCGGGTTCGATTCCCGGCGGGGGTGCGACAACAGCAACAATTTTTCCCTCATTAATTTGAGGTAGTTTTTAATGGGTAAATAAAAAATCGAAAAAGTGATTTCAAATTAATATTGCATATTAATCCACTATTAAGTAACTAATAACAATGTCATAGGAATTCATATATTTAATATGTATCAAATAAAGTTGTTGGACTTCAAACGTCGTATTTCCTTACACCACCAAATTTTTGAGATAAAATCTGCCAGAAATTATAAGCTTCGATCTCGCGCCACGCTGCGAGCTTCATATTGTGACTGTGGTTGATCTTTTAAAGAAAGAATTAAACTTACCCTCGGTTTTCGCCTATGGGGTTGGTGTTCCACATAAATCGAAGCAGGCATATAAACGGAATCGTTGTCCCCTGTTGAAGATTCCGATCGAGGTCTTCGCCAATCTTCCACTTCCACCGTTGAGCATGCATTGTTTGCTTCTTCACTGAAACAAAAGAAAACGATCCAATAACCACTTTGCATTCGTAGTCTACATAGTAAACAAGCATTGAAATGAAATTAAATTTACCTGGAGTTACTCCTCTTGCTAGAGTCCTTCTTGCCAGCCCCTTGACCTTGTAAATTTGGCAAATCTTTCTGGCGTTTCTCCGTCTCGCGCCATATTCGCCAATAGAGAATGCACATGACGGTGACCGGAACGTAGAAGGCTGCGATCGCTGTTCCAAATGTGATGTAATGATTGGTCTCGATGAACTGAATGTAACACTCTTTGTCCGGCACTGTACGTTCACCTTCTATATATGGCCAACTGTATATCCAAGGAGGCCATAAAAGTAAACTTATACCCCACGCACATCTAAAATCAATACAAACGCCCCCTATCAATAATACAGGCCACCAATCCCATGAAAAGGTAAAAAGCTTCCGGTAAGACATCTAAAAGTCAAATAAAATAATTCGAAGTACGAATTCGTACTATAGATGGCGTTTACCGCGTCATTCGTGGTATTTGCTAAGACGCGCTGTTAAGACAGCAGGTAAAAGTTGGCCTGTGTTCTGTCGAAGTTGTCTGCGACGCGCTGATGAGATCCAAAGAGATCGAAATCGCGATCCGCGCCTGGCAGTTTCGACAGAATACAGACCACTTCGAATTATTTTATTCGATTATGGTAACGTGCCTATCACGTTGAGGTTACATACGGCGGGATTTGTTTCAGCAAGTAGATATTCATATATTTAAATGGACCTTGTTGGAGCATACGTAATCCTAAAATGTAGCATCGTGCTACAGATGGCGTTTACCGCGCCATTTGTGGTATTTTCTAGAAGTCAGATTTTCACTTCGTTGAAAACAACTTTGTTGTCCCCTGGTAGAAAAACTAACACTGGAATGGAAAAGTGTCCCACCAAAACACTTTTCAGGGATAATCCTCTCTATTCATTCCTGCAATAATTTCAGTTGCCCCTTCACAAACGACACCTCTAGGTCCTTACGGAAAATGTCCTTTTGCCGAACTTTTTTAAACTTTATATTGTAGTAGTTCTGGACGTGTTTATCAAAAATCTTAAAGGGCGCTATTCTCTTTTTGGGATATGGCCCCCTTCGGTTAGGACTTTCAACAAGATGAGCTTTTACTATTTAATGCCCATTGAGAATTTTGATCTACAGAATTCAAAATTTATGGGTCCATTTTCCATTAGAAGATTCTTTGCAATTACCAAATTTTAATTCAAATTGAAAGAAACGAAAAACATGAGTTTAACTTTTTGCTAGCTCTGGAATCGGTGATAAAGAACTTATTGACTGAGATAAGTGAAGTCTATTTGTAAAGCTGAAAGTTTAAATACGAAAAAGGGCGAAAGGCAGAAATTGACTAATTCCACAAAAAGTGATTGTACATCCCGTTATTTTAACGTGACTTTACGGGCTGGAAATGTTCATTATTTTAATAGCTCCATATACAACCCGTATACATGTATATCTATTGCAGTCAAATGGAAGAATGCCAATTACGCGAATTGCGCAAAAAAACCTCAGTACGTACCTGCAACTTTATACGGGGTAATTTCAAAAAATGATCGTCACATTTTTAATAAAAGCGTTATTTATCATGGAACCAGGTAAAAATTGAGTTACTTTTGATGTTGATGACAAATGTAATTTAAATTTAATAGACTGCGAAATCTGATATAATATTTTCTTGTGCTTAAATACTCTGGAAATTTTAGAAATTAAAAAATGTTAGAAATCCGTGGAAGATCTTTCTACTGTTAACGAAATAATAGATTTCTATATATCTTCATTACTGAAAGTGATTTCCGGTTCTAAATAACAGCAGTAAGTAAATATCAAATAGAGGTTTAGACCGTTGCTTGGCAATTGTAAGGACGCCGGTTCAATTCCGGGTCCGTTTGCCTTGGTCCAAGTTTTTCTGTGGTTTCCATGGATTATTTAGGCAAATGCTGGTACAGTAATATTCCACAGATAATACTTCATTTCCTTCTACATTCATTTCTCATCTTTCGAACCACCACCCTTCCATTCATAAGATTCCTGAAAGGAGGATGAAGAGGGCCTTTCGCCCTACTTCCGGTGTAGTCCGGAGGGACTTCCCCTCGTCACCAACATTATTAGTGGCTGGTGGGAATGAAACACCCAAAGTAATCGCCGAAACCATCGTTAGAGTTTTTCTAATAAATTCATTGAGAAACTCGTATGCCAAATGTTTCTCCTTCAAATTTTGCATTTTTATGGTTCCACATGTTTCACCAAGTTCCAAGCGACATATTATTAAAGTAAAAGAAAGTTATGGTATGAATTATTACCCGATCATGATTGCAGCCCTATTGGTGGTCCTTTTGGCTCTGTATGTGAGCGGTCTGGTGACAGAGAAGTAGCGATCGAAGCTGATGATGAGCAGGTTGAGTACTGATGCGTTGCTAACAAGGTAGTCGAGTGAGAGCCAAGTATCACAGATGAGGGGTCCCAAAGGCCAGTAGCCGAGCAACGTGAACACTGTGAAGAGAGGCATGGAAATGAGGCCTATCGCGAAATCCGCTATTGCCAGTGAGAACAGGAAATAATTGCTGATCGTCTGTAGCTGCTTATCAATCTTGAACGATATCATCACCTGCAAAGAAGCAAAACAAATCAACGTGGGATTTCCTGTGCGGCAGCTGTTCATCTTTACATCATCATAAGGTCGTCAGTCCTAAGACCAGTTGGACACGCACCTCCACACTTTCCTATCCTGAGCTAATTTTCGCATTTCCAGAAAACTAGAACAACCCACATCCTTAGTAATCTAATCTAGGTCTACCTCTACCCCTCCCAACTCCTGTATCTGCCTCTAATATATCTCTGACTAGACCTTCCTGCCTGAGAAGGTGTCCTACCAACCTATCTCGCCTATTTCTTATTCACTTTCATAGAGTCCCCTGTTCTCCTATTCTTTCTAATACCTCTTCATTTCTAACCTTCTCTATCCACGGTATCCTCATTATTCTCATGTAACACCATATTTCGAAAGCTTCTAACCTTTTCTTTTCCACCGCGCCCTCTGCCCATGTTTCGCATCCGTACAGCATCGCGCTCCAAACATACACCTTTAACAACCCTTCTCGAATTTCTAAATTAACCGTTCGCGAGCATAAAAGTGACTTCTATTTATTGAGGGTGAGTCGACCCTGCACTATCCTCTGTTTTATATCCCTACTACTCCTTCCTCCTTTTCTACGTTTATTTTCGCTTTTCCCAGCTTTTGTAGAAAAATATTTTCCAGGTTTAATCTCAGAACCCTAGGTTGGTGACTAGTGAATCCTCAGAGTGACACACTAGGGACAAGATTCCAAGATCTAATCTACGTCTTCCTCCGTTCCTCTTAACTTATTATTCTGCTTCTACCATGCCCAAACTAGCCCTTTATTTTCCTATCCTACCAACCCATCTGGCCTATTTTTAGTCGACTTCCATAGCGTTCTATATTCTTCTACCTTTTCGCGAGCAAAGAAGGGATTTCTTTTTGTTCAAGACAATTGACCTTGCGCTGTTCTTTAGTACTGGTGTTCATTTTGTACCCACGGTCTCAATATTTGTACTGTTCTCTGATCATTCTCTAAATTGGATCAAAGTAAAAGTTGATCGAACAAATACCAAGACCAAAACCAAGTACAATTGAATTTTTGACAACACCAACATTGATTCAGTCCACCACAATTTAAAAGGACTACATTTTGGATAGTGTCCTTGATCACTTACCATCATATTTCCAACGACGGTAATGAAAGAGAGGATTGCTGCGATGGTGCCGATGAATACTGTCTGGGTGATCGAAAAAGATGTGTTGGCGTTGGTGGGATCGTCGGACGACGAAAAGGTACCATTAGACGCATTCAGCAGGAGCGTCAACGAGGTTGCGTTGTTCATTGTGTCACGTGCAACAATTCGCTGTCGTCATGGTCGGCACAACGAGCAGCCCCATCATGTTCCCCATTCCTATGCCATTCCGTTTTTCCTGAAACAACAAACAAACTGTCAAGGCTGTGCTATCTTCTGCTTTGTAACTTCTTTCTGAGTTATCTGATACCGAAAATCAGCCACTTTTTCTAATTTTTCGTCTCCTATTGGGATCTGTCAAATGGACAAACACCATCTGGTGGCAAAATTTATAACTCGAATGAGGGAAAAATTTACATAGGAACTGTGCACGCAAATTGTAAAATTGTTTATTAAAATAATAAAACACGTTAAAAAAGTAAAAATTTTTTTGATGATGGAGTCGACGAAGTTTTCTTCTAAAGTTAAATCAAATAAAAAGTTAATATGTTCAGTGAAAAGCTGCAATAGCACTTCAGACATAGATCTTCACTCTTCACCTACATTAACTACTTTCCAATAAAAACTAACCGTTTTATATATGTAAAAAATATATTCGGAAAATTAGAGAAAAAAGTAAACTAATAGAAGCTTGGATGAAAGCAGTAGGTATCAAAGAAGTGAATTCCGGAATAAAAATTTGTTCACGTCATTTTAATGCACATGATTATATTTCAGCAAGTATTTACCATCAGCCATAACCTTAATATTTAAAACTAGAATCATACTAAAATTATAAAGTGAGAAATTATTTATTCCTGTGTAATTGATTTAACACAATTCTAATGATACGATATAAGTATTTTGAGGTTAAGAACCTACCTGCTGCAATACAACAAAGTTGCAATAATGTGTTTGCAACGTTCTCTTAAATCGGCTTTGCACGTGCAAGTCATTGATATGATATTGCTTAAATCACCCAGAATCACCTCACCAATTATATAACGTGAATCACTTTTTAAATCCGAAGTTTGTAAAAAGTAGGCAGTAAACTTGACGGAATTTGAAGGCTAGCTTCCGGATTTGTTATTTCCGAATTTTATAATGTGATTGGCATTAAAAACACGCTCACCTTCAACGAAATTTCCTTTCCGAGGCTTTGTGTCAGCCCAATCACATATTGTGTCAATACTTATCATTTTATCGTAATTTAAAAACTTGGAAATTGCACAGTACACTATAGGAACTACGATTAATTTTCCCTAATCGGCGCCATGTTTTTAGGCTCCTCCCATTTGACGGATCCCAATATTTCTATCCACTCTTTTCCTACTTTTTTTTCCTTGCATACCAGCATTTCTGTTTTACTTTTATATTTTACAGTGTAAACATTCAGTGTCCCTAAAGTGGTCGTTATTACATGAACAAACTTCAGCACGTCCTATCATATTTCATTATTGTTAAGTTCTATTCCGACATACGCATTATTTTATCCACTATGTACATTAATGAAGATGCCCTTGTTTACACTTATTTCTCCTTGAAACGTCTAATACGCCATACAGGACCTGTTTGCGTCTGATGCTACTGAATAAACAATGGTCGTGATGATGCATTAAAACATCTCAACAAAGAAACGCAAAAGTATTAGTATAGAGGGTTGAAATACTTGTAGGGTGAAGTCCTTGAATACTGCACAAGATCGGGCACGTGGTTAAGAAGAAGGACATGATATCTAAGGGGTTTGAGATCTGGACGTTGGAGACCCAATTGTAGTTGAAATTAATAGTCGAAAGCAAAAGAAACGCAAACCCCTTTTGCAGGAGAGAACAAGAATATCTTTTGATTTGTACTATATAATTTGGTCGATAAAATAAAGATTAATATTCCTTCAGGACGTCCTCCTAAATTCCCACAAATAAAGTTTATAGTTTTTCACTCATAAACCTGTTTATAAGAAAGAGAGTTGACTAAGTGATGGTGAAGTTTATCAGTAAAACTGAAATAAGGACGAAAAGGAGACATCGACTAATTATACAAAAGTGAGTTTATCGTTTATCTTTTGGTTTGTAAAATAAAATAAAGATTTGCGTCCACCCACCTGTGTCTACCCCCAAATTCCCACAAGTCTAATTATTAGTATTCTTGAACTTTAATCTTACTTTCCATATGTATTGTATACCTTGTTTATTTATTAACGTTAATGCCTATAATCGAAGATAAAGGGGATGTATTTATACCACCGACGCAGATGTGTGGGCTGATGCTTCCTCAAAGACTCTTGGGGCACGTATCATGTGTGGGATGTTATTTAGATTTATCTTTATTAAAAGAAGTTTATGGGTTAGAAGGACTTGTGGTAAGAAAATAGTAAATATTGTACTCCAAATTAACCCTCAGCATTAAATAAGTTATTAGGCGTTGAATCGATACAAAAAATAATATGTATGATCAAATATATTGGTGTTACGTTATCTTGTAAAATTGTCGACTCTCCTCATCTAAGGATAAATCCTGGTACGCCTATAATAAAATGTGTAGCAACTCCTGTATTTAGTCCTATTCTAGTCGTGGACCTTTGAGAATTCTGAAACCTTTTCGTATATTTTATGTTTATGGTTGTGAACGATTAATTTAGAAATTCGAGAAATGTGGTGTTATAGACGAATGATGAGGATACCGTGGCTAGAGAAGGTTAGAAATAATGACAGAGGACTCTATGGAAGTCAATAAAAATAGGCGAGATAGGTTGCTTCTCAAGCATGAAGGTCTAGTCAGAGACTTATTAGAGACAGAAACGGGAGTTATGAGGGGTATGGGTAGATATAGATTAGATTACTATTCGCAAGTAGTTAAGGATGTGGGTTGTTCTAGTTTTAGGGAAATGGGAAAATTAGCTGAGGATAGGAAAGAGTGGAGGTGCGTGTCGAACCAGTCTTAGGACTGACGACCTTACGTTTTAAATGTTCTTGCATTTATTTATAGTTTGTTTGCGATCTTGATGTTGCGTTTTGATTGAGATTTAATTAAGCTTTGTAAAAGTAATATCTTTACTTAGTGCTGCATGTATTGCGTCTATGTAAAGTGGAATATTCCTTGCGACACCAATCAGCGCCTTTTAAGTTGCTGCTGATAGCTGACGGTGATGAAATTAGCCTACCATTCGCCTATATAATGAACTTAATTAGTTCACTTCACTTTTACTCCTTTCCTTGGCACCGTTTGATAATAGCATTTGAAACAATTGAATGTACTATTAGATAACGCGTAAAATTTAAAAATATGGATTTTACACGACCCCCTTCAAATGTTATTGTCGTCTTGTTGTTGTTTTTTTCTTTATAAAACTATAATTATCAACAATGTGTAAGACTTAAGTGGTTAAATTGAGTAAAATCAAATGATTATAGATAACTTATTATATCTCTCCATTTTTGCCATAAATGTCAACTTAATAAAGAATTTCCTTAGCAAAATAATATACACAATATAATTGCGTGAATTTCTAAAGAAAAGTTTTTTTCTAATGGGCAATGCCGAATAAAAAGGGCCTAATAACGAAGTAGAAGTTTATTTCTTGCGAAAAATGCTTTATATCTTTCTACATGCCGCTGGCCTTTGTCATTTTTTGTTTGTTTAAAGCGAGGTGAAAAAGTGTAATATTTTTGTTTGGGTATAAAGAGGGTGAAACGCCCTTGGCAATTATCAGATCTCATTTTAAATGGATTCATTATCTTCGGAAGAATGGCTGGATCGTGTTTTCCTTGGAAAATCCTGATACAATCAGACAACAGCCGCTCATGCAAAAAAAAAATGTTTAGGTAACAGGGTGAAAAGCGTCGGAAAACGTTTTTCTCTCTCAAGCGACCTTAATAGGTTTACGTTTGTCGAAGTATCATTTGCTTTTAAGTAAATACGGTTGATTTTTTTGTCGATGAGCCCAATATGTTTTTACTTAATTTGAAGCCGAACGGGTCAACAAATAAAATAAATAAACTTGAAAACATCTGGGAGGACCATTTAAACTTTTTAGAATTCAATATTAATTACAAATTACCTCGTACCTGCGTTCTGGGAAAGCAATTAAACAGTTCAAGGAAAGACTAGACGATCCGGATGTTTCTAGAGGGTTCCAGAAAGGAAACAAAAGAGTATTTAAAGGAAGAGACGATCGCCGGGAAGAAGAAATAAATTGACCGTTGCAGAAGTGAATCCAGAAATAAATTAGAAATAAATTGATAGTGATAGCAAAGAAATAAATATAGATATATATAATATAAATATGATATAGATATATTCAATATTAATTACAAATTACCTCAAATTAATCAGGAAAAATTGTTGCTGCTTTCACACCCTCGCCGGGAATCGAACCCGGAAGCTTGGGCACCTACGCACCAATGTTCTGATCACTAACCAACGAAATGTACTTATTACTCGTCAAAATAATGTATATATTGTAGCGAGCACGAGCGTGTTTGTGTGCGATCGGGCACAGGTGTGCGTGGGCGGCTTATCGATTGGCCGACTAGCCGCGGGCGCCTTTCTTTATGTGCGCCGTATTTGTAAATGTGTGTGTCGTACCTGCGTTCTGAGAAAGCAGTTAAACAGTTCGAGGAAAGGCTAGACGATCCGGATGTTTCTAGAGGGTTCCAGAAAGGAAACAAAAGAGTATTTAAAGGAAGAGACGATCGCCGAGAAGAAGAAATAAATTGACCGTTGCAGAAGTGAATCCAGAAATAGACAGTGATAGCAGAGAATTAAATAGCGCAGTGAATAGTCATATATCAATAGTAGTGTAAATAAATAGTTTTTGTCGTTGTCAGTCCTAGAATTTAATTTTGTTAAACCCACGAACATTACAATATTATTTTAATACCATATCCTCCTCATTAATTTGAGGTAATTTTCGTGAATAAAAATTAAATGAATTAAATACTAACCACTGTTAAAAGTTTCAAATATTGTACTCCAAATTAACCCTCAGCATTAAATAAGTTATTAGGCGTTGAATCGATACAAAAAATAATATGTATGATCAGATATATTAGTGTTATGTTATCTTGTGAAATTGTAGACACTCTTCATCTAAGGATAAATCCTGGTACACTTATAACAACACATGTAGAAACTCTCGAATTTAGTCCTGTTCTAGACATGGACCTTTGAGAATTCTGAAACCTTTTCGTATATTTTATA